ACAATAATGTTACGCCGGTAAGAGTAACGCCATCTATCGCCGAACGGCCAGTAGAATATCGAAGGATCTAATAACATCTAGAACTTTTGAGAAGTAGAACGCCATCTATTGTCGGATAGCGGAAATGCACATCGAAGGTACTCGACTTGTGAGGAATGTTCTCAACGATTCTAGGGATGTCGTATCGACTACAAAAGCGTTGCAGAGTTAGTAATCGGAACTACTCGAACCGAAGCAGCAAACGGATCACCTGAAGCGAAGCAGAAGAAGTGAATTAAGAATTTTAAAGTGTTTTGTGAGTGTTCTAAGTGATGAATGCCGTTTTAATTTGTACTTTGGTAGAACGTTTTATTTACCGCGCTGGGGGCGCGTAACAATAATAATTGATACATAGACACCTCAAAATGGATGACGGTATCTATGTTTTTTAATAACGCCTTAACACGAGGTTGACTGATTTGAACATCTTAGCACTAAAATCTAAATTTTTAATGAATTAAATAAATAACACTGGCAAAAAAAATCTTTCGGAGAGTTTCGAGTGCCATTTAACGAGATTTTAATATTTCACGTTACGAGAAATGCGTATTTATTATTGATGTCAAATTATGTTAAGCGCGTTGCTTTTCCTAAAATTGTGAGAGGGTATTTCTAAGAATCGGCATAAACGGGTGTTGATTCATGAAATTATGGAAGGACTCAATAAGGAAATTGTGTTTACATTTCAATTTCCTCGCGACGTATGAATAATTTATTGAGAGCACAAATTGTAGAAACTACAACGATATTATTCTGTTATTTATACGTATGTTCTATACGTATTTTTATGTTACAGAAAATTAATATATAATATTATGTAAATTTGTGTGTGTTTCTAGGGGTAGAATGGATCATAGCAGACTTGTTGATTTATTTAGAAGAATGGCCTGTTATAAATCTTGACAATAGAAACAGAGGAGCTATACACTATTTTTAAAAATAGCTTGATATTATATAGTAGGTATATATAGGTACATAAGAGTAGGTTATTAATTTTTCTCGGGATTTCCAATTCTAGACTTTTTTTTATTATAGATCAATAACTTAAAACAAATGGTATCCTAAAAATAGCTGTGCAGATTTTTGACGAACGAATTTACAATTAATTGTAATTTGTAATTTAAGAGAAAATAAGTCGTCGATTACCCGTACTAGGTATGTGTACGTACGTACTAGGTACTCTGTATATTACAATAGGAACTATTTTATTTTTTTTTCCTACCTAAGTTGATAGCCTTGAGAAGAGGCTATTCCAGCGTAACTTTAACTAGTAGGTGAGCTCACGGGGCTCAAACCGGGGTGATGCTAATACTGACCCTAGTAAGAGCAGTGCTTCGCAGAATCTACCACCGGATCGGAAACGCGATTCACTGAGAAGATCCGGCGAGAAACTCAGTGGGCAGTGTCTATGGGTTAATTCGCTCGTTGAGCCCTTCGGCGTGAGCGACGGGTTCGACGAGGACGGTGACGGGTGCTTGTGGTACCTAAAAGCACCGTTAATGGATCGGGAGGATCCGTAATTACGTGTTTTGGGCGACGTCGACTGAGGAACTATGCCTTCGAATATAATCAACATGCTTCCTTATTAAATTTTAGTAGACATTAACATTTTTTTTTGTATTTACAAACTGATCGTAGAAAAGTTTTAATACACCTAAAATTAAATGAGGACGTAAGTATCGCAAAAGTCGTCCACATGAAATTTAGTAAAGAGAATAGAGGATATTTAATCTATATCCACTGTTTGTGTTTCGTTATAAACACGAGAGGGAAAACGCTTAATCTGCCAACGTAATTCACGTCACGTCGACGATCAGGCGCAGTTTGTTGGACATTTGTACCCGAGGTCCCCTATGTGTCCGTATTTCCCATCCCTCAACAGCTTGCAAAAATAATAAATAATATACTAGAGGTCCCGCAGTAGTCGAAATTCGACTATAATTAATTGGAATTGTAAGTTTGTACACTGATGCAACGGAAAAAACGACAGGTAAGAGACACAAATACAAAAATGTGTAGGATGAAGCCAGCAAAGAATGAGACAGAAATATACATACTATTTAATACAGCGCCATCTGTGAGATTTTTTAATAGTAACGTGTGTATGAAAGCTCTTGTAGTGAATTTTAATTTAGGATTATACGTGAAATTAAAATATCAATTCACAGAGGGCGCTACCTTACAATTATTTACTAATGACAAAATTTTACATATACTTAAGACGTTTAGGATAATTGTATTTTAATTTTGTAAGGTTTCACTTCTGCCACGTGTGAATTGCACACATTTTTTGCTTCACGTATTAATATTCAATATAAAATGTATGTATACGGCGTATAGTAATTAGTATGCTTTCGTTGGATTTAAATTTCGAACACTATATACCAAATATATAAATAATATCAACAACTTGAATAGTATTCTATAGAAATTCTACCAGCATTTCGTTCGTCTGCAGTACGCTTCCAGAAATAATTTTTGCCGTATACCTGTCTCTTAAATATATTTCCTCTAGCGTATTTATAGAGCGCTTTTACATGTCCGGAGATTACGGCAGTAGAGCGTAGCTTGACTGTGCTACTGGTATTATCTATACTTCTATACTAATATATAAATCTACAGTGGTTTTTACGGATGTTCCGTTATAACTACTGAACCATGCATCCGATTGACTTGAAACTTGGTATTCATGTAGAAAAAAAATGCACTTAATGGATAGGGTAATATTTATAAGAGTGTTGGACTCTCTACACCAGTAGCGGAGGCGTTAATGATGAGAATCTTTGTGGGGGTGAGAATTAACAATGTTAATTTTAAAAGCCCAGTGAAGCGGACGGTTACATCTAGTTATGTATACTTATATATTAATACGTTAAGCAATGAATTTGTATCCCTTTTTACGAAAATTCCCCGGACGGAGGAGTATGAAATTTCCTATACTTATAGAGAATATAGAGAAGAAGTGCAGTATGCTAATATATTTTTTAAATTATGCTTAAAAAACACATTATATGAATAAAAAAAGTATTACACACACTACCATGTATTTGACACAACACATACATAAAAATATACTCTTTGTTTACTGTCAATTGGGAAACTTTTGTTATTTTTTAAAGTCTGTGGTCGAATTGAGAATAGAAAAATATTGTTTGTCTTTAATATTATTGATCTGTAGTGCAGTTTTGGCGAATACTGTGATTATATTATCAAATTATAATAATATTTGAGAATAGAACCATAATAATGTTTAAACTTATAATTTCAATTAATTATAGTCGAATTTCGACTACTGCGGGGCCGCTAGTTTTTTATAATAATGTCTGTTCTGACTCGTTGGTGCAGTAGTTAGCGCCCTTAACTGCTGGGCTTAGGGTCGTAGGTTCGATTCCCGCAACTGGCAAATATTCGTGTGAAAAACTGTTTATCCTATTAAGGATAACGAGTATAACTTTTAAAAATATTGAATTGTCATCGGTACTTCATAAGTGTGCCTAATTTTGAGTTAATTAAACCTTTTGAAGGAGGTTAAAATCATGTTCAAAGTTTCCGTTACATACATACATAGTAACATAACGTATGAAGCTAATAAAAGCGTATTAAAAAGGGAAAAGGAGGCGAATAATAAACGCTTATAAAACTGAAAATCTGGTTGCATAAAAGATATATACCATTATTATTATTATAGTAATTTATTCAGTTTCATAGACATAATTAAAACTAATTTTACGCTTTAGTCACTTCGTCATCCGTGACCGCGAAAGCTGTAAAGTATTTGAAACATTGTAAATAATGCAATGACACTATATAATAACGCTAGATTGACCGTATAACCATTCCGATAGAGGCACCCGTCACGTGCGGACGTGCTCATCGTCCACTCGATCGCCCGATCTTTGTTCGCCCGGCTTTTGTTAGCCCGGCCATTGTTCGCGCGGCCTGTGTTTGTGGTACATCTGCCGACTAAGTGCTCTTTCTGGAAGTTTTTATTCGTTTTGTTTCCTTTTGTTGTTTCTGTGTTCGTGGTACATCTGCCGACAAAGTGGTTTCCTGCAAGTATTTATTTGTTTTGTTTCTTTTCGTAATTTCTGTTTTGTTGTGCTTTTTCTTTGTCCTGTAGTAATCGCGCCGCATTGCCACCTGTGTTCAATAGAACCGCTCAGGTCCGAGAAGTTGGGGCCTCGCCGCAAGGCNCGTTGCAGCATGACGTTGCAGAGCGACGTTGCAGCATGACGTTGCAGAGCGTTACTGCAGTATGACGTTGCAGAGCGTCATTGCAGCGTGACGTTGCAGAGCGACGTTGCAGCATGACGTTGCAGAGGGACGTTGCAGCATGACGTTGCAGAGCGTTATTGCAGCATGACGTTGCAGAGCGTCATTGCAGCATGACGTTGCAGAGCGTCATTGCAGCATGACGTTGCAGAGCGACGTTGCAGAGCGACGTTGCAGCATGACGTTGCAGAGCGACGTTGCAGCATGACGTTGCTGAGCGACGTTACGACGTTACGTTACAGCACGACGTCGCGACGCCGAAAAGTTATCGGAAAGTTATGGTTAGTACATAATATTTTCTAAGCGTATAACGTAGACACTCTTGTGATACAATCTAAATTAACACACATAAAAAGTATGTATCAATTTGGTGTACAAAATCAGTCTAAATAATGAATAACAGAGAATGTAACACTGTACTGTTGGTGCGACTCTGGGTTGCTAACCAAGGTGAGACCGGCTCATTGAAACATCGGCGCAGAATTCGATTCGCCTTCTAACAGAATTCGAGTTTTTGTCCCTACCTCCTAGACTATAATTGAAATCTAAATCCAGTGTCCGCGGGCTACTGGACTACTGCACGTGTGACAGTCGCTCTTGTTCTGTGTGCTTAGTGCGAATTTCTTAAAGTTCTCGATAACGTAAAAGTTAAGCTAAATTTGTATGCAGTTAAAACAGCGCCCCTAGCGGCAAACTATCCCATTTCATTCAAATATGAGCTAACTTTTACGCTATCCAGAACGTTAAAAAACTAAGTACACTGTTGTAGTGATTGCTTTTAGAATTAATTTTTAATATTAAGTTAGTACCGTTCTAAAGGGTACAGCCGCTTCAGTCGAAGGTGAGCGTGGGCACTACCGCAGGCCGACCAGCGTGGCCGCCAGCGCGAGCAGCAAAGCGGGGCTGAGCCCCAGGGCTGCGGCGCCGGCCAGGCGGCACTTGAACATGTCGATGCGCGTCTCCTTGTCGAGTATGATGTTCTGGAACTCGGCCTCCACGATCTGCCCGTCGTAGTACGTGGTGGGGTCCTCGAACGGGTACTCGAAGCCCTGCAGGCACTCGCACTTGTACCCGCCCGCCTCGTAGCCGCGGCCCAGAATCGGGACGCACTGCAAACAGCAACACGTCAGTACGGGACACGCACGGGGCGGGGGCGACCCCCTAGTGCAGCGGTCGGGGAACCGGGGTAAATTACCCCAAATGGGGTAAAATGAAATTTTGGGGAGTGAAAACATCGATATATTACCACTAGATACCGCGTAAAGGCGTCAAAAGTAACCAAACAAAACTGTGCTTAGATTCATATTAAGCACTGTTTTGCCGTCAGTGTCACACCGACCGTCGAGTGGAACGATCCTAAAATGCGCTGTAAAAAGATGTAAAAAACACGTTTATAAAGAGAAAACAACATGAAATTTAGTATTTTTGGTAAGTTTTATAATTTTTATTAACAGATAGTGATAAATATTTGAAATAAATCAGTTATTCTTACCAAATTAGTACTTCAAGAAATTAAATCCTATTATTTTGCTTCGCAGTTATTTCTTTCGCACACATAATAACGGTTACATGCAAGACAAGGATGAAATAGGGCTATTTCAGAACAAGTGTAGTGGTCACATAATTTTTTATTTTTTTATTATTTTTTATTGCTTAGATGGGTGGACGAGCTCACAGCCCACCTGGAGCTAGGTGGTTATACTGGAGCCCATAGACATCTACAGCGTATTTACGTTGCCATTTGCGCATTTGCGCCACCCACCTTGAGATATAACTTCTAAGGTCTCAAGTATAGTTACAACGGCTGCCCCACCCTTCAAACCGAAATGCATTACTGCTTCACGGCAGAAATAGGTGGGGTGGTGGTACCTACTCGTGCGGACCCACAAGAGGTCCTACAACCAGTAATTACGCAAATTATTTTGCGGGTTTGATTTTTATTACACGATGTTATTCGTTCACCGTGGAAGTCAATTGTGAACATTTGTTAAGTACGTATTTCATTAGAAAAATTGGTACCCGCCTGGGATTCGAACACCCCGTGTATCGCTAGATCAGATACGAATGCAACAGACGTCTGTACAATGGACGGCGAAGTGAAATCTGTAAACTGGAATTTGTTTTTACATTTTTACAGATTTAATAACAGAGTAATAAAAGAAAAAAGAAGCAACAATTATTTCAAACCTAATTGCTCCAGTGTGGTTTGTGCAGACCATTTTACCGAATCTGACATGTATTTAATAAATAAAACAATTTGATGGGGATTATGTTTTTGTGATTTAAAAAGCTCTTATCTATTTTCCCCACCGATGTGCAAGGTACAATATAGCTAACTCAGGTATAATTATCTATAGTTATACAATATTTGTTGTTAATCATATGGAATTAAATTGAAAAAATTGAAAAAATTGAATGAATATGAATTAAAAAAACATAATAAAAAATAAATTACTCAAAATATTCTTACAAAAAAAGTATAAAGTGCGACTCCGTAATACTCTGTTCGGAGCAGTAAAGTCTTAATATCGTAAGTTTAAAAGGGCGTAAGTAAAATGCTATGCGTGTAAATTTTTGCTTTATTTTTAAAGGGATAAGGTTAAATTTGGAATAAAAGTTATTGTAAAAAACTATCTTTTTCTGTCATTCATGGCGTAAAGTCGTAAGTGAATGTTAAAATAATCTAAACTGCACTTTATTGCTTGGGGAAAAGGCATAGTTTAGGTTACAATTATTATATTATACATCGTTTTTCTCCACTTGATGGTGTAGTCAGATCAGTTAGTCGATGCCATTTTTGTGTTTGGTTTTTGTATGTGATGCGTTATCTAGTGGTAATATATCGATGGGTGAAAATGAAACTTTTGTGAGTAAAAAGTATATATTGAAGTGAAACATCTTTAAAATCGTTAAATTTTTAAGCTATTGCATAGCTTCTATCGCGGGCCTTGAGCGCGGCGACTGAATCAAGAAATTCCGTAACGAAAATAATCTGACACCCCCGCTGCGCCTACTATGTAGCTCGCGTTCAACACATTCACATGTTGCGCTTGTGTAGTGTTTGTGAATAAGCGCGCGGCGTGACGTCGCACTGCATGCACATCATGAAAAGTCTGCCCATCTCTCTCTCACGCGGTCTAGCTTATGAGTGTGAAGGGGACAGTTAATGTTTTGCTTTTGTTAATGTTTATAAATATAGCGTGGTCTTATTTTTATTATTGTTTTAATATTAAATTATTATTGTCTAATTGTAATTGCAGAAGTTGATAAAAAATGCTTTGCAATAGCTTTACCGCGGCAGTCCCCGAGTGCCACACGTCTTTTTTAGTTATTGTTTTCTTTTCAAAATTATCATGGGGGCTATGATATGAAAGATGCTAAAAAGAAGCGATTTCGTTTTTTTTTTGTTCTTCGCCATGGGGTAGTATCAACTTACACAAAAATATTTTGGGGTAATAATTAAAAAAGTTTCCCGACCGCTGCCCTAGCGCGACCCTCTCACGGGGCGGGGGCGACCCCTCACGCGCGGCCCTCTCACATCTACTCACATAAGACGAGCTCCTGTCGCATTTATCCGTTCCCTTGAATGCGTTGGACACGTAGTACTTGTCCGGGCACTGGTTGATGTCCAGAGACAGCAATGACATCGTCACCGCCACCGCACCTCTATAAGCAATAGATACCATATTTAACGGTATGAAGACATTGTTTTGTGAATGAAGGAAGTGGCAGGCTCGTCACTCCCGACGTGAAACCAGTATCAAATGTCGATCGAAAACATATTAATAATGCTCTGCATGCAATATAACTCAATTAAAGATCAGGGGTCAATGTCTTTGCTATCCATTGCCCGTTTAAGAAATATTATATATTTACTGCAGCATGTATATATACGATTAACCTATAATATTTAATAAAGTAATCTGCTTACATTAAGATTTATGGATAGTACTTTTCAGACTTCAGTAATAATTGCCTTGCCCCCTATTATATAGAGTATATTTTTATCTAGTGGACATGGAGGGCCAAATCAGAAACTATGAAAAATAGCGAAATCAATCAACTAAAATCGTTTAATAAATGATTACCATGCTGTAATTTGTTGTTTTAACGCAAATACTAGATGAGTTTAGAAATAACGATATTATATAATTATGCCTAGACAGAGGGTGACAGTTGAACAATGACGTCATTGTTTAAGTGCCCGTGTTTGTCGGGCGAGTAGCAGAGCGCGTACTAACTTGAACTCGAGTTTGACTTTGACGCTGTCCCAGCCGAAGAAGGGCGCGGCGTAGGTGACGGCCCACTGCGGCACGCGCCCCCCGCAGTCGTAGTAGGGCTGCGTCCAGTGCCCGTGGCGCAGCGCCGCCGCCCGGTACCAGTGCGGGAAGCGCTCGTAGTGCTTGAGGTACTTGCCGGCCTCCGAGTCGCGGATGTTCATCTTGAGGAAGTATTGCTCCAGGCTGTCGAAGTTGCTCGACCAGCGCTGCTTCAGGAACTGGAACCAGGGCTTGTTCGTGTACACTTCCTCTGTGTACGCGAACACAAGGGAAAGTTAATACATGTTTTCTTTTTAAAGTACAACTTAAGCATTGCTATTCGAAACCCAATCAAATGAAATAATACTTGAGCTAGCTTTAGTTTGAAAATATCGTCTACCGAATGTTCATTACGCTTCTTTAACATCGTGCGTGCGTCTTCATTTTTTTTTTTGGCTCCAACACGGTTTGTGCATTAGCCAGCGTCAAGTAACAAGATTTTTATAATTTCGGCGTTTTAATTATTTACAGTTTATGAATGTGGCGGTAGCCATCAAAGAACACAAGATATTTGACAGATGCCTGAATCTCGCTTACGACATTTTCAAGATAAAGTGCATATATACAAGTTCCGAACAACAACATTCGGACCGTCGGTCTACCGAGCAATATCACCCGCTCGGTGGAAGATCTTCCCTGCGTCAATTAACCTTCCCAAAATGAATAATAAAGAACGAAGGAAACTTAAGCAATTGGCATGAAATTAAATTAGATGACACGTTAAGGTATGGTATAATCTCAGTAAAATGGTGGTCATTTACTGAGATTTTTTCAGTGACTTTTTGGAGGATCCCGAGAAGTTACGTCCAGCGGCTTTGTTTCATTTTCCCAGATTTGTGCACTTTCACAGATATTGAACAGTTAATAAGCCATCGTTATTACATTCAAACCTGAAGAAACACTAAATAGACAAAATAAAACAAATCACACAACTTCACTCCTCGCGTTCCCGCTAAAAAGCCTTTATCTATATATAGGTTTATTTACAGTTGGTAGCGTAGTCGTAGAGATGGGGACACAAATGAGAGACCTGTGGAGTTGAGTCGCGCCAGGTCCTCGAGACGGAACTTCCTCACGTTGAGCTCGGTCTTGTAGGCGAAGGGCGCGAAGTACGTGCGGTTCGGGAACTTCTCCCGGTCCCAGTACGTGCCTGCAACCACCACCGGCTCAGATTAACCATCATTACAAAAATTTACATTATGAAGTCGTCGTGGCCTACAGGATAAGACGTCCGGTGCATTCGTATGTAGCGATGCACCGGTGTTCGAATCCCGCAGGCGGGTACCAATTTTTCTAATGAAATACGTACTTGACCAATATTCACGACTGACTTTCACGATGAAGGAATAGCATCGTGTAATAAAAATCAAAACCTACGAAATTATAATTTGCGTAATTACTGGTGGTAGGACCTCTTGAGACTCCGTACGGATAGGTACCTGCCTGTTTCTGCCGTGAAGCAGTAATGCTTTTCGGTTTGAAGGGTGAGGCCGCCGTTGTAATTATACTTGAGACCATAGAACTTATATCTCGAGGTGGATGGCGCATTTACGTTGTAGATGTCTATGGGCTCCAGTAATCACTTAACATCAGGTGGGCTGTGAGCTCGTCCACCCATCTAAGCAATAAATAAATAAATAAAACATGAACCATAATTAGGAAAATTTATATTAATTTCATTGAGACTTCATGAGTTCCGTAATAGCATGCACGTCCCGGAGAGCCGCCATGCACGTCTCAAGGTCGACAACACTTACGCTATGCGGTCCATGGACTCCACCTACCACCGCGTGCTCGCACCACTAAAACTCAACACAGAACTCACCGGCGGACCAGATCTTGGAGTCTCCGAGCACGATGGCCAGGGTCTCGCCTATCATCTGGTCTTCGGTCAGGGGTTTGTCGGCGACTCGGTTCCCGCTGAACACTTCTTGTGGATCCGACACCTGCAAGCAACGAGAACAGTATGTCAAGCACGAAAATCTATAGAATTCATAACGAAAACGAATCATTGTGTAGAGCGTGGACTGTAATTTATACTGGACGCTTCAATAATTTATACTTAATATTATAAAGAAGAAAGATTTGTTTGTTTGTTTGTATTGAATAGGCTCCGAAACTACTGAACCGATTTGAGAAATTATTTCACTGTTTGGAAGCTACGCTATTCCCGAGTGACATAGGACATCTTTTTTGAAGAAATTAGGGATCTTTACTAAACCTCCAATAATGTAACCCAAGGTTTAAAAAAAATACCTAAAATATTATTTACATCGCGTGCCCTGCGAAAACTATTGATAATGAATAAAATAATGTACTACGACTTTTATTATTTACAAAAAGTATCACGATAGCATATGTCTAACTATTATAGTTATGCCGCAATAAGTGTTCTTTTATTTAAAAAAATAAAACAACGTCAAATATGGTTGAAGTTTTTGTTAAAGACCCGAGCGGACCCGGAGCGGGCCGCTAGTTAGATATATTCAGAGAGAAGGTCATTTTTATTTTATTTTAATGTAGTTACAACACGTGCGACCTGAATTTTTGATTGACTTACAATGAATGTTTTGCCACAATTATTATTCTGTTTCAAAATTCAAAAAAACAGTCATACAAACTTCGGTTCGGTTCCGGTTTGAAGGGTGGGGCAGCCGTTGTAACTATACTTGAGACCTTAGAACTTATATCTCAAAGTGGGTGGCGCATTTACGTCGTAGATGTATATAGGCTCCAGTAACCACTTAACACCAGATGGGCTGTGAGCTCGTCCACCCATCTAAACAATAAAAAAAAAGAGAGAGGCGACATCTAGTGGCCGGCGGCTACCTGCAAGAACGCGCTGATGAAGTTGGCCAGCCTCAGGGCCATCTTGGCTTGGTTCTCCAGCTGCTTCTCGACTCCGAACGCCAAGTCACCGTTCAGGACCAGGTCGCTGGGGTTGTACCTGAATTATTCATTTAATTAGACGAAGGCTTGCTGACAAGAGCTATAAGGTTAAAGACACGATTGTAAATGAATATGCAATTTCAAAAAGGGCACATCTCTAAAAATGTAAAATGTTCAGGAAATGAAAAAAAAACTGATTATTTTCTAAAGCAGTGTAAAATTTAAAATATTAACTTTTGATATATATTTTAGTGTTAGTTAGCAATTGAAAATTACTGGAATTATTATAAAATGGGTGTAGGTAAGCCTCAAAACTACATGTATATGAAAAAACGTATTTGACAAAATATGTGACATGTGCCCTTTTCGAAATTGCATATTCAATTTTAAATTTGGCTAAACGAAAAAATGATGTCAGGAGATAAACGTCTATTTTTTTACGCCAATTGTAATTTTGCGGGTTTCATTTTTATTACACGATGTTACTCCTTCACCGTGGAAGTCAATCGTGAACATTTGTTGAGTACGTATTTCATTAGAAAAATTGGTACCCGCCTGCGGGATTCGAACACCGGTGCATCGCTACATACGAATGCACCGTACGTCTTTATCCTTTAGGCCACGACGACTTCAGTGTAGGCTAAGCTAGGCTGTGATAGAATGAGATATCATATTTCTGAAGCTTTCATTTTACGTTATGTAATGGAATACAATGGTGAAGAAAATTCTTATATACAGGGTGCTTCACAAAAGGTATATCAAACTTGTAAATAGTGTTCTATTCGATTAATAGATTAATTGATATGATAGGAAAAAAGCTGCCAAATAAATAGTTTCGGAATAAATAAGTACTTGAACGTAATTAATAAATAATAAGGCTAGTCACAAATCAAAAGATGCGAATTTGTATTTTTTGTGTTGTAAGCTTGTCCGAATCTGCTGATAGGTTACTCTTTGATCAGTCTCTATCATACACCGCACAACACTGATGTTATCTTCAGTCTTCGCCGTAGAAGGTCGTCCTTCACGGAGAGCATCGTGGAGATTGGTGCGACCACGTTTAAGCTCATTAAACCAGTTATAAACAGTGGCCCGAGAAGGGGCTTCATCGTGAAAGGCCAATTGAAGTCTGTCATAACATTCTTGTTGACTTAAATGGCACCGAAAGTCATAAAAAATCATAGTACGAAAATTTTCTCGCGTTAAATTCATACTGGCGTGACACAGATAAATTTCAATTTCCCGCCAAATCGTAAAACTAATGACAAATGAATGAAATTAGTACTCAATAATATTAGCAAAATTTAATTCTTTAAAAGTGGCCCGTTTTAAACAACTATCAGTGTCGCCCTCGTATCGATCCCCTTCGCGAGAGCAGTGTGGACTGACCGGGAGCAGTTGTCCGGGCGCACGCCGCGGATGAAGTTCAGCATCTCGTAGACGTTGGGTCGCGGCGCGTGCAGCGCGGCGGGCCCGGTGGCCGCCTGCACGTACTCGTGGTAGCGGTCCCGGTACACCGCGCGCAGGAACGCCGGCGCCTTCTCCAGCTCCGACGGCAGGCCCTGGATCCCTGGGGACGCACGACGCCACATTAACGCTCACCTTTTTTTTTTTTTTTTATTGCTTTGCCGGGTGCACGAGCTCACAGTCCACCTGGTATTAAGTGGTCACTGGAGCCCATAGACATCTACAACGTAAATGCGCCACCCACCTTGAGATATAAGTTCTAAGGTCTCAGTAGTTATAACGACTGCCCCACCCTTCAAACCGAAACGCATTGCTGCTTCACGGCAGAAATAGGCAGAGTAGTGGTACCTACCCGCGCGGACTCACAAGAGGTCCTACCACCTAGGCCTTGCTAGACTTTTTGGCGGGAACCCGAGAAGTGAAGTTGTGTGATTTATTTTATTTTGTCTAATTAGTGTTTCTTCAGGTTTAAATTTGTAATAACGGTGGTTTATTAACTATTTAATATCTGTGAAAGTGCACAAATGTGGGAAAATGAAACAAAACCGTTGGATGTAACTTCTCGGGATCCTCCAAAAAGTCCACTGAAAAAATCTCAGTAAATTTACTACTATTTTACTGATATTATATTTCGTCCCATATCATCTCATCTCATTTCATTTAATTTCATTCCAGTTGATTAATTGTCTCAAATTAATCATCTTCATTTCATTTCACTCCATATTATCATTTTTCATAAAAATATGAATGTAAATTAAAATAGGACATGACTTAGTCTTAGTTACCAGGTCATAAAATCACTTAAAAAAATAGGCCTTGCTGATCTAGATTGTGTATGTACTACACGGGTAGTCTTCAGGCAGTGCTCAGGTTTTGATGTCTATGGACTCCAGTAATCGCTTCAGGTCATTCATAAAATCTATAAATAAAATAAATATTCGTTGTTTTCAGTTTAAGTCAAAATAAGTAGGTAAAATAAGCTATTTCTTTATCAGATTTAAGAGTTATCCGTTTAAAACCAAACAAATATATTATTTTCCATACATATAAATGCAAAAATAAGTATATTTAGTAATTTTTTTATATCTAACTACTCTACCGCTCTTCATGAACACATCTGCACATGCACATGCACACACCTCATCAAGGATATAGAAAAGGACTTACAACACTTTTTATCCAGTTAAATTTTCTCCAAAGGAATATAATTTATTATGTACATCAATCCAAGTTAAGCAGCGAGTGAATCTTATATAAGTTAAGACTCACATCCAATCTTGGAGCAGTCGAAGTTGTTGTAGTACTGGTCGGAGGTGGCCCGCTCGATGATCTCCCCCAGGTAGGGGCGGCGCACGATGCTGGGCAGCCGGTACCCGGGCCGGCAGCGACACTGGTAGCCGCCGCGACGGAAGCCCCACCCGTCCAACGGCTCGCACTACGCGAACAACAATTCAATATATCCAATATACTCATAATATTGTTACGCCGGTAAGAGCAACTCCATCTATCGCAGAATCGCAGAAACGAATATTAAAAGGACCGAGAACGCTTGAGAAGCACAACGCAGCGAAACTACTCGACTTGTCAGGAATGTTCTTGATAATTCTAGGGTTGTCGTCTCGACTATAAAATTTTGCAGGGATGATACGAAGGCCGTTAGTAATCGGATCTACTCGAAGCGAAACACCGAACGGATCACTTGAAGCGAAGTGGAAGAAGTAAATTTCGAAGTGTAATTCACTTCTTCCACAGTGAGTGTTCTAAGTTAAATACAGTTTTAAGTTGTAACAATGTGATACCTTTTGATTTGCTTTACAAAATCACCGGTACATAACATCTTACATACTTTAGCGCTATTTTCATACTTCAGGGGTAAAATTCCGAACAATTATCCATTAATACTAGTAGAATATTTCAGCGTTTTTTTTAAATTAAATACGAAAATGACTGATGTCATTTTTTGGATTTAAAATTAATTTTCGAAATTATTACTTACCTGTTTTATTTCTAAACGGGAACAAAATGGTCGTGGTAATTGTTTTTTTTTTTTTTTTTTAACTGATCTGACAGTTATGAGAGACCATTTTAGCGTAACCGGGCGAGTAGGTGAGCTCACGGGGCTCAAACCTGATGTTGTTGCTAACACTGGCCCTAGCAAGAGCTATGCTTCGCAAAATCTACCACCGGATCGGAAACGCGATCCACTGAGAAGATCGGGCGAGAAACTCATTAGGCTGTTGCCGCCTCGAGGCCCAAACTTCGAATCTCACCGACAATAAATGCAAAACGTTGCTGCCAATAAGAAGTTGTCTTTTGCCTGCAATATCAAGGGCACCGCCAGGCCACAGCCTACCACTCACACCTACTGTCCACAAACCTCGTTTGAAGAAAAATGGATGGATGGTCTGTGTCTGTGGGTTAATTTACTCGCCGAGCCCTTCGTCGCAGGCGACGGGTTTGACGAGAACGATGACCGATCGTGGTCATGACCGCCGTCTCACCTCTGTTGTTTCTTTGCATCGAGCCGTCGATGCGAACTTGTTCGGTCGGTCGTTGCCCGGACTCGGAGGACACTGGTTTATGTCGATCCTCTCATAATCCATTTCCATCACCACGGCAGCCGTGTAACTGTTTAAGAGTAGCATTATTAGCATCTTCCAAGGATTTTTTATAGAAAATATCGTTTGTTTATTTGTTTACAAAGATTCGGATCCTAATCCATTGTGTTTGTTGACTCGGGTGGCCATAACAGTTTTCATTTGTAACAAGTGCGTGCTTTATTTGACTGTATAACGTCTGAAGGCACACGCAAAACATGCTTGTAATGGTGATTTGCCCCTGATGCAGATGAACATATGCTACACAGGGAGCAAATAGGTAGGTTTTCGGTAGACAGTGGCTTGGCTCTGCTCCTGGAATTGTTGAAGTCCATGGGCGACAGTAACCACTTACCATCAGGTGGGCCGTATGCACGTCTGACTACAAGGGCAATAAAAAAAATACCAAGCTAAGCTGCTGCCAACCGCTTAGTACTATTTTCAAACCTTTCCTTTCAAAAACATGTGAAAATAATCAGGAAATACTGAGGCTAGAGTCATGAGGGAGAGAGAGAGGTAATGGCAAAAATATCTCTGAAAGCAATCTATGGAAAGAACAGAGTTAGACAGTAGTGATGAACTCTGCCGCGGTTGAGGGTGGTAACATAGAAAGGAAATGACAGAATCATCTCAATTTTATGGACTTCTATTGACACAGTACCTTTACAAGGGCCAGCTGATTAAATAAAAAATACAGATCTATTTTATTACTAACCGAAAACTACAATTTAGATTTTAATTTATTTTAAATTTAGATTTTACCATTCAAATAGCATACATATTTCTACAAGTCTAGTTATTATTTAAGAATGTCAAATTACTGGCTGGGAACATCATCTTATTCATTTTACCACGTAATGTACAGTATGTCTCATAAAAAATCTTATAAAACATTTAATTAATGACTGAAAGAGCATTTCAGTAGGATCATTATTAACACCAAGAAATGTTTAGACTATCCATGTCACAACATGTGATTGGTAGTTGATCGGTATCAAATGTACATAATCTAAGTATCATGTTGACTAATGTTATGAAACTTCAAACATTATGTAGAAGAATAGCATACATTAAAGACCTAATGATGAATATCCAGTTTCAACTTTTCATACTGTAGTTGGCTGTTGTAATCTATATCTTATGTAATAATGAAACCCGGTCACATTCCCCTGTACAAGAAATTGCAAGAAAAACATTAAATTCTTGAAATTTTAATTTAAATGACAGAATACACCTTGAGGTACCAACAACAGCTGTACTATGATACATCATAATCAGCTGAATGGTTTAAATATGCATATAAGAGAAACAAATATTTATATATATATATAGATACACTTGTAAGTGTGTTTGCTACTCAATTACCAGATAACGGCTGAACCAATTATTGTAAATAAGAAATAATAAGTTTGGGTGTGGTATTTTTTTTTTTTTAATGTACTTACAGCCATTATTTTAATTAATGTATTTGGAGGTAGTATTCTCTTTATAAAATATTTTTAGGCCAGATACAGTATCAACTTTGTACATACTTGTGATGAGCACTCACTCAACATACACAATTTTTGTTCTTGAAACCTGGGATCTCATGAATCTCATCAAGTTTGGTGCGGTATTCATTATTTCTAAACATGGTAATAATAACTCACGTGGGATATTCAATATGTCTGAATTGCGTGTGTCGAGGGTATATATCAGCAACAGGCGAAACCGCACCCACTAACCACTTGCTCAGCCGACCGCAATCAAAGTATGGACGGGTCCAGTTCACTGGACCAGGAGTCTGTGAAAGGAGGATTATACTTTGAGGAGTGGAGTTTGACAAATCAAAATATTGACTATGATGTAATTAGTTATACTATACTTAAATTAAAATATGGGGGTAATGATAGTATGAGATTAACTTAGTTTTAAATAACAAATTATAGGCAATTTCTGGCAAAACCTATGCTACGGTTTAAAGCATTTGATAGCATTGACTCTAATCTACTGAACTTATACTTTTAGGTAGGCATCAATATTAATATGCAGTTGAGATTAAAGATTGAAAAATTGTAAAAATAAAGTAAAAATTACTAATTAACTGGTACACTTAGAAAGTTTGTACTTGGAACATTTACTTTAATAAGTGCCAATCACAAAAGATCCTATTTTATTCAATTTTGTCAGCCCACAGACGTCCACTGCTAGACATAGGCCTCCTCTAAGCCTCTCCACAAAGATTGGTTCTGAGCTGTCTGCATCCACCAGGTCCCTGCAAACCTCAATAGGTCATTGGTCCATCTTTAGTATTAAAAAGAATAAATCACTGAAATTACAACAAACCTCATCATTCCCTGGTGGACCATGAAATGTGAATGTTTCGTTTGTATTGTTAGCATATCTGATCTCTACTTGATATGTAGTCTTAGTATCATGACGCCTTTCCACTCTGTCAGGTAGCCACACCTTATACCACTCATTAGTCCTATAGAATTCTGACGTATAGTCTTTCGATAAGCTATCTGGTTCGAAAGCACCTAAATCTTCAATTATAAAAGTGTTCATAGTAGATATTTTTTGTAAGTGTACAGGATCGTTAAAATCATCAGCTCGGAATGCTCTGGGAGCAAAACGCGGCAGGGTCTTGTTAAAGAACCCTCTGTACGACGAGGTATACGACATATTTGGGGAAAAATATATTGCACTAGCGTTTATGTAGGGATTGGCAGCCACATCGGCAACGGCCGAAAGGAAATAATACATCATACCAGGATCGTAGGTATCATTGATGGCGGGTCTAATAAATCTGGTTTGGAGAACGAAACTCCAGAAAAAAGCTCTATTCATGGCCATATTGTGCAAATGCAGCATCGCGGTACGGTTTGGGAATACCGGGTTGATGTTGATCTCTTTCACGTCGGGATGGTGAGAAACAGAATCTTCGGAGAGGTACAAGTCATCGAGGTGACTAATATAACAATTTTCGCGATTAATCTTGTCCATCTTCCCTCGGACTTCGTCAAAAGCATCGCGTATTTGCCATTCGTACTGACCGGCCACACCCCACAACAATGCACAAAGCGATATTGCTAACAAACTGCAGTTTATTTTCTCCATTTTCTCTTAAACTATATGCTTCTTTTGTAGAATTATAAATTCAATGCAATAACAAACACATTTTAATACATAAACGCTTCTGCTTTCAGCAGGTAATAATCCAATGCAGTGACCAATTTTACTGCTTTCGCCGCAAACCCAACGAACATTTTGTTTGGTTTTGTTGTCATTTCATTATTTCTTTGACCGAAGTGAACAGGTACAAGAACATCGCCCATAATGCCAAATTGCTTATAGTTTTCAAGCAAAAAGTTTCAAGAAAAAATAACATGCAACCTTACACTTTTTATTTAATTTTTCATTTTATTTTATTTTATATTCGTGAATAAATATTAGACGTGCGTATTCCCTTAGAACTGTTTGGTGTCTGACTGTGTTTTATTATTTTTTGTATTTATTATTTTGTCTATTTAGTGTTTCTTCAAGTTTAAATGGGTAATAACGGTGGCTTATTAACTGTTTAGTATCTGTGAAAGTGCACAAATGTAGGAAAATATGCTCCATTTAGTAGGATCCTCCAAAAAAATCCACTGAAAGAGTCTCAGTAAATGACCATCATTTTACTGAGATTATATTTCATCCCATATCATATCATATCATATCATATCATATCATCTCATCTGATCTCAATTTTATTTCATGCCATTTTTCATATTAATCAACTTCATTTCATTTCATTAAATCATATTTCATAAAAAAAGTTATAAAAGATTAGACTGTATGGTGTGATATCCTTGCCTTTCCATTTGGAAAAATAAAACTACTACTACATTATGGTTAACCTGAAAAACTAAACAAATTATTATAATAATTATTAAAATTTAAAAAGTACACAACATTGGTTCCATAGAATATACACAAAACAAAATTAAAACTATAGATAAATCTGAAATCATATAAATAAAATCTGCTTAACCATGGCTGGGACTATTTTCCGTACGTTTAGCTTTATCTATTATTTAAGTGAATGTTGAGATGTTTTGGGTAAAAAAACATTTCTTTTTCAGGTTTGCTTTTGACCAATACCACTTCAGCCCACAAAAATATTACAACTATTGTAAGTCCCAACATAACCAAGTAACCTTTTATTTTATTTAATCAATAAATAAATTAATGACTATAGGGCTGCTTAGATTCTCTGGCTAGACGTTTTTGTAGGGCCTTTTTTGTAATTAGAAGGTTTGTGATAAAGTTCAGCAAAAACATTTTTATTTATTACATAGATAGGTGGACGAGCTCACAGCCCACCTGGTGTTAAGTGGTTACTGGAGCCATAGACATCTACAATGTAAATGCGCTACCCACCTTGAGATATAAGTTCTAAGGTCTAAAGAATAGTTACAACGGCTGCCCCACCCTTCAAACTAAAAGGCATTACTGCTTTACGGCAGAAATAGGCAGGGTCACCACTGTACCTACCTGTGCGGACTCATAAGAGGTCCTACTTCCAATAAAAACTTACTGATAGCTATGTGATACCTACTATTGCTCGCTCTTTCGGTGTGCTCCCCACTGAGACCTATGCATGCTTATGGCTGATGATCTACCACAAATTTGACTTATAATATGTATAAGCCCATTACATGACCTCCAAGTTGAAATTAATGATTATATTCCCCTATTGTAGTGAGCTAATGTCCCAAAGATTTATGTCTTACTTTGTCCTTGATTGACAACAGACTCAATAAACCACTCAATAAAACAAAAAGTTATGGATCAGTGTGAGGCACTCAAAATCAAACTGATTTTTATTCAAATAGACCTTTACTTTTAAATTGTCTCATAACTTTAATACAGATTTAAAATGATGTTTCACTGTCAGAAATAATTTCAAAAAACTGTGTGCATTCTGTCACATTGCATAATAAATTATATAATTTTTAGAGATCCATAAACACAGGAACAATATCCTATGCAGCCAGGAAAGGTACAAGAGCTAAGGCACGTGCAAAAAAAATTCAAGTTGAAGTCACAAAAGTTGGTTTCATTCCGCACAATCAAAGAGGGAGAAAGTGAGTTTCTAATTTAACTGCAAAGCAACTGTGAACATAGATAGGTAATGTTAATACAATATAAAGCTGCCAACCATTGGTTAATATATAGTTTATTATTATTAACATTATATATATATTAATATTATTATTATTAAAAAAACAAACTTGCTTGCCAGCAGCCATTTATGTCACATTTACAATATTCTAGATCGCTCCTGCAGTTCATATTCAACTCTTTATTAAATGCCATTGGATGGATTAAATTATATTAAAACTAAAGTCTGGACTAGTAATATCTTGAAACATCACTAAAAGTTAACCATGGGCAGCTCGAGCTTTATATTTAACAAATCACACTGATGATCTAAACATTAACTTGACATTTAAATACTTTTAATTATTTGTCCTCACACTGACATATAGAGACAAATAGAGAAAAGATGAAAGAGAGCTATGAACAGAAAACAGCAAAATCAGCTGCTATAAATTCATTCATTCAAAATATATTCATGTGTATAATAGTATCATAATAAAATTTTAGGGTAGTTAAAACAGTGGTGAACAAGCATTTCAGCGATGAGCACAAAGCAATACCCATCGACGATGTGTATCCTATGAAGTATTACAAATGGGTGGTCTACACGGCTGAGGATGCAGTCAAAGCCCACCAGGAGACCCACCACCCGACCATGTTTAATGCACCTGATGCCTTCATCTTTGCAAAAATTGAATTTAACATGACTGGTATAAAGCAGGTACTGTGTTGAGTTCTTTTGTTCGAAACAGTAATGATAGTAGCAATTATTAGATGATTATATTAGGGCTGTAGAATATTAAAGCTAGAATATGTTTCTATGCGAACCCAATGTTTGTGAACACATGACACATATTTAAATCAAAATAATGACATCCTGTCACTTACGTAGGGGATGGAAATACACCAGATTTATTTTATTGCTCTTGTAGGCAGACGAGCATACGACCCACCTGATGTGTGGTTACCATCATTTAATGCCGGGGCAGAGCCAAGCTGCTGGTTACTGTATTGACAATATCAAATGTGGCATATTTTGATTGAGAAGAGTAGATTTTAAATAACATTTACTCACGCAAGACAAAAGCAGCTGCAAGTAGTGAAACATCAAAAAAATCCTATTTATATTTACGAAATTATTTGAAATATGTAATTTTTTTCATAGACTCGATTCATGGATAGTTTCACTCGTTTGTCCTTGCTGCCTCATCCTTTCCCAAGAGAAGAAGAGCGCACTATTCTTGCATTCTGTAAAGGAGCAGAGTTAATCAAAGAATTACAAGATGCAGGTGCTACAGTGGCTGGAGGCACAGATATTATTAAGAAGATACAGGTTTGTTATATCCATAATAAGTTAAGTTTGTATGATAAAAAATGATGTTGTAGATTTTTTGTTCACCTTATTTGAAGAAAGACATGTCATAGCGCTCGGGAAACACCATGGAGGGGAGCTCATTCCAAAGCCAGATGTTACGTGGCAAAAAGATATCTAGAAATGCACTGTGGATGACCGCAGTGGCTCCAAGTAGTATGGATGAACTCTACTCCGGTGGCGGGCGGTGCGATGGTAAAAACGAGATGCCGGTATCATCCCAAACAATTCCTCAGAGCACTCCCCATGGAACATTCGGTACAAAATACAGAGAGAACTGAAGTCCCTCTGCAGACCCCGAGTTTTCAATAGCTTATTGATAAACACAGCTTGACACAAAATTGCATGTTAGTGAATACGGTAAGAATTATTTAAGTGAACCAAGTATTTGTTTCCAGGATGGTCAGATCAAATTATTTGAATATGATTACGTTGTAGCCCATCCAAACATATTGACGGATTTAGTGCCAATCCGTGGTCTCATGAAGAAGCGGTTCCCTAACGTGAGGTCTGGAACCCTGGACCCTAATCTGAAGGAGTTGGTGAAAAAGTTTGCTGGAGGTATCCAATATAAAGTAATAAAAGACGAAGCACAACCGAGTTTTGGATCTGTAGAAGTACCAGTTGGCCGGGTAAGGTTTAGCTGTGGAAATTAAAGGAGTATGACTAATGAGCTTAAACAAATTTAATATGTATTTATTTTGAGTTCATCTTAAACTAATACCCCTATTTGTGTGTTAACTAGTTTAGTGCAGTTTATGAGGGAACTACTCATATCTTGTGACTTATCCTCGTTGAATTATATTATTGTATTTTTAATAATGTAGTATCTTTGTCTGTTATCTTATTCTTTAATAATGTATTATTGTATGCAATAAAATAGCATTTTTCTTCTTCTTCTGGTCGTTCCCTCAATGCTGAGGATCGTGACTGTATGTCCATCTTCTCCACTCGGTCCGGTTCTGCGCCATATGTACCGCTCCCCATATCTGGCCTCCAGTCACATGAAGTCGTCGTGGCCTAACGGATAAGACGTCCGATGCATTCGTGTTGAGCGATGCACCGGTGTTCGAATCTCAGGCGGGTACCAATTTTTCTAATGAAATACGTACTCAACAAATGTTCACGATTGACTTCCACAGTGAAGGAATAACATCGTGTAATAAAAATGAAACCCGCAAAATTATAATTTGCGTAATTACTGGTGGTAGGACCTCTTGTGAGTCCGCGCGGGTAGGTACCACCACCCTGCCTACTTCTGCCGTGAAGCATTAATGCGTTTCGGTTTGAGGGGTGGGGCAGCCGTTGTAACTATACTTGAGACCTTAGAACTTATGAGCTCGTCCACTCATCTAGCAGTAAAAAAAAAAACACCTCCTTGAGTTGGTCCACCCATCTAGCTGGCGCTCTTCCTCTAGTGCGCTTCTCCTCCATTTGTCCAAGAATGATGAGTTTCTCCAGGCCGTGCAATGGGGATCGCATTATGTGCCCAAAGAAAAATAAAATAATAATAAAAATAGCATATAAGGTACTTAATCTTCGTTTCACAGTGTATAGTCAGTGCATTTTCAAACAATTTCAGTTAAATATGGAACCAAAGCAAGTGGCTGAAAATATTGGAAAATTGCTAAAAGACGTGCAGGCTGTCCGCCCCAAGAGAGATGGGCTCTTCGTAACAAGGTAATTAATTACTAATAATTAAATTAGATATAAAAGAAATATTTGATGTATTTGATGTGAGGGCAGAAATTGATCTGTTTAGTATACATTAACTACACTAAACAGGAAAGTTAAGAGTGAATTTTTATTTATAAAAGAATATTGTATGAAAATTTAGTGTCTAAGACCAAATTAAAATGAAATTAATGTAAATCTTGATACGTCACTGATTATGGTCGAACGATGATAATTACGTTAATACTAGTAATAATAAATTACGGAACCTTCAAAATTATACACCTCTATGGCACAGTGGCGCCATCCTGCTTTAGACAGTAATCAAAATTGTTCAGTAGTAATTAGTCAACGCAAAAATTTAAAACAATTAATTACTTACAGATGCCTGTTGGTAAGTCCTCCATCTACGGAGCAATTAATGATTGATCCGTTCGTGTTCGTAGATAGAACACTGTCGAAAGAGGTCCAAGATGATAGCGATGACGAAGACGAGCCCGTGGCGGCCACAGCGTAATGCTATTATTAGTCTAGTCTGTAGATATGTAGATTCTGTGTAAAATATAATGCTATTTGTAATTTTCGTTTTATTGCAAAATACGATTATGCTGTAGGGTTGACACGTCATTTCGGATCCTCTCGATCCACTAACGGTGCTTTTAGCTACCTCAAGCGCCGGTCATCGTTCTCGTCGAACCCGTCGCTTGCGACGAAGGGCTCTGCGAGTAAATTAGCCCATAGACACAGCCCACTGAGTTTCTCGCCGGATCTTCTCAGTGGGTCGCGTTTCCGATCCGACGGTAGATTTGCGAAGCACTACTCTTGCACAGTAGCGGATTAAAGGTCCAGAGCGCCCTGGGCAACATTTTATCGGCGCCCCTGTACCGGCCATAAATGGCCATCATAATACCATAAATTTTAACTAGGTAGTTGTTTTAGCAATTTCGATGATGTTGTATCATCATACCCTAGACTTTAGTAGACCAGGACATTTAGTTCAGGCATTTAGTTCTTAATCGTCGATATGTTATTTTCTTTATTTATTTAAAAATTCTGAGCCCGCGCGCTCCTTGTAACTACACGCCCCTAGTGTGGCAGGCACGTGCCTAGTTTGCCTTACGGATAATCCGCCTCTGCTCTTGCTAGGGTTAGTGTTAGCAATGACGTTAGGTTTGAGCCCCGTGAGCTCACCTACTAGTATAGGCTACGCTGAAATGGTAACTCAAGACCATTAGCTTAGGAAAAAAAGGCGCTTGAGGAGCCTAAAAGCACAGATGATTTGGGCGACGGCGGCTTTGTCTTGCCCCGTCGCCGGGGCCTGATAATTTTAATTAGCGGCGGCCACGATAAGAGGGTTATCGTGTCGCGTCGCTTTGCCGAAGTAGCTTTTTGACGCTACTTTATTATATATTGGTATCGTTTCGATTGTATAACCGGGAGAGAATTATGTGCAAACGAGCCGCGTGAGCGACCACTACACTTACATAGGTCATGACGGAACGTATATAAGTCTTGTAGAGAGTCATCTTGTTACGTAGAGATAATTAAGTTCGCTTGTAGATCATGGGATAAGCAGATTCGAACGAATAGGAACGCGACTCGGTCGCGTATTGACTTAATGTGGGGATCGAGTGTCATCGCTCTGTCGGGGGTGACGCCTAAGTAATAGGGGTATGAAATTTCTATTTTAATAGTTACTTCGAACTGACATAGAACCTTCATGGTTCGAGATTTTTGAGTGAATCTTTTTTCAAATGGTGGTATGAGGTTCTTCTTTTAAAAATATGCAACATTCGATTAAGTATAGATTTTCAGTCGTTTTTTTATTCAGCTTAGATCAGAAAGATGGATATTTCGAAAATTCGAGTGATTTTTTAATACGACGCGGAACTAACGCTGCTTACGCTGCAGAAACAGCTCGCAATATCAATGTTGCGCTTGGAGAGGGAACTGCTAATCAACGCATCGTGCGATTTTTGTTTAAAAGATTTCGTGATGGAAATTTTGATTTGAAGAACGAACCACGTGGAAGACCGCTCACACATGTGAATAACAATGAATCGAAAGAGATGGTGCCAAATGAAGCCAAACTACCCAGGAATTAGCGGCATGGTTTAGCGTTACCTTATCAACAATATTGACTCATTTGCGTCAAATCAATAATATATAAAATATGAAAAGTGGGTGCCTCATGATTTTACTGATCTGCAGAAAGAAACGTATGTTGAAACTTGTGTTACCCTGTTGAATCGTTACAGAAATAAAGGAATATTATATAACTGTTTGGTGGTCTCAGCAGGATGTTATTCACTATAACTTTCTCTGATCTGGTCAAGCAATAACGGCGGATGTTTACTGTGCCGAACTCCAGCAAAACTTGCAGTGAAACATCCCTGACTCATGAATTGATCTTCACTATTATTGCCCCATGATAACGCGAGACCTCATACAGCACAAGAAACCGTTTTAACTCTACATGCAATTAAAAACCATTCGTCACCCTCCATATTCGCCAGACCTTGCTCCAACGGACTACCATTTTTATTGTGATTTGGACAATTTTCTACGTGATAAAAAGTTTTCTATCCAGGAGGTAGTACAAAATGCTTTCACACAGTTTGTAGAATCTAGATCAGCAGAGTTATATCGCAATGGCATAAATGACCTTCCTATTATGGCAGCAATGTATTGATAATAATGATAGATATTTTGACTAAACATATATTATGTTATATGAAAAAAAAAAACAAATTTCAAATTTTCAGTTCAAATCGGCAATTTCATACTTTAACCCCTAATACTTAGCCTTCAAAGTCTACGGTACTTAAGGGCTGGCCAAAAAATTTAATCGCGAGAATGGAGTTAATTAGCACGCCTTAAGTATGCGTGACTAGATATTAGCAGTGGTGTCGGGAGGGCAAAAAAAAAAACTGTCTTCGTCCACGGGTCTACGGTCAACGGTTTGCATTCCAGGACAATGTTCGTGTTCGGTATTCATGTGTATGTGATATTGAATGAACAAATAAAAAAAATTGCAAACGATACCATTACAGAGTACTTATTACATCCTTTGGCTTTACTAATGCCGGCCACTCACATGCGGGCAAATATTCGTACATTGTACGAATGTTTGCGCGCATGTGAAGGGCCGTCAAACATTCATTCGCAAACTTAGCAGCTGTGCAAATGGGTTCGCATACTCAATTTGCGAACCCGTTTGCGCTTCCTCCCACACTTGTTTACGAATGTCTCACGAATTTCTCCTCCTTTTTAATTCGTTAATAGAACATTGAAGAGAAAAAGAGTTTTGAATTCTTTCCCAGACATCATTAACAGACATGCTGTTTTTATGGGATTCCTTTTTATGAAGATACGCTACACAGTAGCACGAACTATGAAAATGGCGATACGTCCGTTACCTTCGCAATCGTCAGCGCAACTGGGCAAGCGAATGTGTGGGAGACTACGCGAAGGTTCGAGGTTCGCGCGCTTTGATGTCTGTTAAAAAACCGACACAGCTTGGAAAACCACGAATGCAGCGAAAACTTTGAATAATTATTTGCAAATATCGTCCTACACTTGCGGGTTTGCGTATTCGTGCGCATGTGAGTGACCGGTGTTAGTTATGCACTCGAAAAACATACCAGATAGACCAAGATAGGCATGTATTTTTTTTATTGCTTAGATATATGGACGAGCTCACAGCTCACATGGTGTTAAGTGGTTACTGGAGCCCATAGACATCTACAACGTAAATGCGCCATCCACCTTGAGATATAAGTTCTAAGGTCTCAGTATAGTTACAACGGCTGCCCCACCCTTCAAACCGAAACGCATTACTGTTTCCCGGCAGAAATAAACAGGGTGGTGGTACCTACCCGCGCGGACTCATAAGAGGTCCTACCACCAGTAAATATGTCTTAAATATTGATTGTGTTATCTGTGATTATGGAGTTGTACCGTCAAAATGGGACTTTTTGGCGGGAACGCGAGGAGTGAAGTTGTGTGATTTGTTTTATTTTGTCTATTTAGTGTTTCTTCAGGTTTAAATGTGTATTATCGGTGGTTTATTAACTGTTTAGCATCTGTGAAAGTGCACAAATGTGGGAAAATGAAACAAAGCCGCTGGACGCAACTTCTCGGGATCCTCCAAAAAGTCCACTGAAAAAATCTTAGTAAATGACCACCATTTTACTAAGATTATATTTCATCCCATATCATCTCATTTCATTTAATTTCATCCCAGTTGATTAATGTCTCAAATTAATCATCTTCATTTCATTTCACCCCATATTATCATTTTTTATAAAAATAAGAATATAAATTAAAATAAGACATGACTTAAAGGTCTTAGTTACCAGGTCATTAAATCCCTTAAAAAACGGTCAAGATGTCCAAATTTTGACACTTCTGACAGCTGATCCGAGTTATGTCAGAATAGAATTCTCACAACTGATTTACGTTCGAAAATTTATTACATGAAATTTCAATTAAATTTAATATTTTTCGAATTTTCGGTAAAAAAAGAATGGATATGCTAGTAGTGTAACAATTTAAAAATAAAATATATGGATGAAACTTTTGGCAGTAAACATTTTCAAAAAATTAACTTTTACACTTTTGGGAACTGTTCGGAAATCGAACGTACCCGAGGGGCGTAAAACAATCCGCCATTTTGTCCCTACAACAATTTAGACTTTTATTATTTCGATAGGTACATGATAGCGCTTTCAATCAAAATAATCACAATTAAAAAGTGATGTTAAAAGAACCGTGCATCGTTTTATAAATCTGTGATATTTGTGTCCAATATTATTTTTATTTACGGTCATCTTGACGTCTCGAAACTGACCGATTTTTGACGTCGACTACAGAGCTCCGGATAAACCAAAATGGGCACAAGAGAGGATGAATATGATTATTTGTTCAAAGGTAAGACTTTTACTCGCCTGTTTCTTTTAATTAATTTTCGCAGTCAACGGAACTCTATGTTATTTTATAACTTATAAATGATGAATCCCATTGTTTGTAATACTATAGTGACGTAGAAAAAATGTCTTATTTAGATTTCTCCTTTGTTTTGTGTTTTAATTCTCAGTACTATATTAGAATCAAAATGTATGCATCAAATCAATTATAATTTCAATCTCAGACCAAAAATAATATTGTATTTTAACATCAGCTGATTGTATGAGTCGATCGATTTTTTTGTAATTTACCGTTCTCATGACTCATGTATGCCTCTTTTGTAGTCTAATAAAGAAAATGATTGTTCTATTTTTCGATTATGTTAACAATAATTTAATAAAATATAGCATTCTATAACCACTAACCTATAACGAATTGTCTTTATTAGTAAAATAAAATAGTAAACACGCTATTATAGCTTATGATCATCAGCATCGCGACTCGCGATAATCACCTTGAGTTTAGTAAATAAGTAACTTTATTTTAATTTTAGTTGTACTCATTGGAGATTCTGGTGTGGGTAAAAGCAGTCTTCTGTCGCGTTTCACTAGAAATGAATTCAATTTAGAATCTAAATCTACCATAGGTGTGGAATTTGCAACAAGAAGTATAGAGGTGAGTATCGAATTCCATTAAATAATGTAATTGTTCAGAAATTAAGAGTCATTAATTATATCTGTTATGAAATAAAAATAGGGGCGGCAACTAAAGTTTTAATGTGAATAGTTTAAAAACGATGTCTAATATCTCAAACACCAACAAAAGTAAACCTATTTTGTTTAAAATGTACTACAAAATTACATTATTCATATTTTATAAACGGATGTTTTTCTCAAATTCACATAATATATCAATATATTCACAGATATAAGTGTAAGTACCTATCGTTTCAATAGTGTGAATTCTTTCAGCAAAACATATTTTCACAATATGCGCCCTCTTATGGTCAGTATTAAGTATGTATGACAAATATATTTTTAGTTATCTTCAAATTAAAATTGCTTGTCTTATCTTTAATCAGTAAACCTTGTAATTCATTAACAAAAACCTTTAAATTTATTCAAATATAACATTACTTACTTGAAATGAGTCATCTTTATTTAGAATAATTTCAATAGTCATTGTATATACAGCTGCTTACCCTGCTACAAATAAAACCAAAAATCACTGTTGTAATAGTAATTTTAAATCATATTTTCACTTAGTTCATTGTATGTAACAGTTTCCCTTTTTGTCAAATTGTTTCCAATACACACATATTTATATTAGTCATGAAAAATGTAGTAAAATTTTGTTGGACTGGTTTAAAAAAATGAGATGTCAGAAGTATATGGACAAATTAAGAGACTCTCTGACCTTTGTGTTAGTCAGTCAGACTATTTATGTTTTCTGTATAAACTTTAAATTGTTAAACAAACAATATAAATTCTTAAACCTACAATGTTTTCACTATTTAGCTTCTGTCCCACTGTCAAGTAAATCTTTCTTAAAACTTTGAAAGGCTTAAAAAAAACAAGATTTTATTCTACTTGTGTACCAATTGCAATTCTGTCAGTTTAAATGATAGAAAAGATGTTGGTTAATTTTAATTTGTGTTATTTATTATGGAAATTCCAGTTTCCATCTCAATTTGAAGGTGTCAAAGAATGTCAACATTATCAATATTATGAATCACAAACATGAGAAAAGCTGTACAAAATGATTTATATGTAACTCTCATTATTTTGTGAGCATGTGAGAGAGATCATAAGATATTCTCGTCCCCTATCCCTTTTCTGTATGACCATTTCAAAAATATTTTAATAATTTTTTTTTACAACCAATTTTGTGGGTGTTTTAAAAATGGAGATTTCCTTTTACACAAATATTATACATCTTATTGGATTGTAGCATAGATAAATAGTATCACAGATTGGACAGCTTTGTGAAACTCAACATTACCACTCGTATTCTATTCTCAGGTCTGTCTGTGGTAGAACCATCCTGTCTATTTTCTGCTGCTATTCCAGTTTAAAATATGACACAACTATGACACAATTTAATCAAGACTTTGTAATCACATAGTACATCTATGGAATAATAAATAAAAATATCATGTTTTGATTCCTCCTACTGCCAAGTGAACAATGTTAAGTTGTAAATTCGAATTTATAGTTGTAGTGAACTTACATTTAAAATCTTGTCTCGCGATGGCAAAGAAATTATTCTTGGGGGCCCACGGGGACCGATGAACTAAACATTTGGTGCCGAAATGACAAGAATGTTTTATTTATTGCTTAGATGGGTGAACGAGCTCACAGCCCACCTGGTGTTATGTGGTTACTGGAGCCCATAGACATCCACAGCGTAAATGCGCCACCCACCTTGAGATAAAAGTTCTAAGGTCTCAAGTATAGTTACAACGGCTGCCCTACCCTTCAAACCGAAACGCATTACTGCCTTACGGCAGAAATACGCAGGGTGGTGGTACCCACCCGCGCGGACTCACAAGAGGTCCTACCACAATTAATTACGCAAATTACAATTTAGCGGGTTTGATTTTTATCACACGATGTTATTCCTTCACTGTGGAAGTAAATCGTGAACATGTGTTAAGTACGTATTTCATTAGAAAAATTGGTACCCGCCTGCGAGATTCGAACACCGGTGCATCGCTCAACACGAATGCACCGGACGTCTTATCTTTTAGGCCACGACGACTTCAAAATCGAAGGCTATATCTTGTTGTTGTTTACCAGGTCGACGGTAAGACCATAAAAGCTCAGATATGGGACACGGCCGGCCAGGAGCGGTACCGCGCCATCACGTCGGCGTACTACCGCGGCGCGGTGGGCGCGCTGCTGGTTTACGACATCGCCAAGCACCTGTCGTACGAGAACGTGGAGCGATGGCTGCGCGAGCTGCGCGACCACGCCGACCAGAACATCCTCATCATGCTGGTCGGCAACAAGAGCGATCTCAGGCATCTTAGGTACGTCTCTAGTTACGTCCAATCTAGACAACACTAGCGAGCTCCAATCTAGACAACACTAGCGAGCTCCAATCTAGACAACACTAGCGAGCTCCAATCTAGACAACGCTAGCGAGCTCCAATCTAGACAACACTAGCGAGCTCCAATCTAGACAACACTAGCGAGCTCCAATCTAGACAACACTAGCGAGCTCCAATCTAGACAACACTAGCGAGCTCCAATCTAGACAACGCTAGCGAGCTCCAATCTAGACAACACTAGCGAGCTCCAATCTAGACAACACTAGCGAGCTCCAATCTAGACAACACTAGCGAACTCCAATCTAGACAATACTGGCGAGCTGCAATCTAGACAACGCTAGTGAGCTCCAATCTAGACAACACTAGCGAGCTCCAATCTAGACAATACTGGCAAGCTGCAATCTAGACAACACTAGCGAGCTCCAATCTAGACAACACTAGCGGCCTAAAGGATTAGACGTCCAGTGCATTCGTATGTAAAGATGCACCGGTGTTCGAATCCCGCTGGCAAGTTCCAATTTTTCTATTTAAATACTTTCTTAGTAAATGTTGTCGATTGACTTCCACGGTTAAGGAATATCATCATGTAATAAACATCTAATCCGCAAAATTATAATTTGCATATTACTGGTGGTAGAAACTCTTGTGAGTCCATACAGGGAAAATTAAGTAACCCCGCCAACCTCAAGACATGAGATCGAAATAAATCACTCCAAAATTCTAGATAATCCCTAAAGGAATCGGTTTTTGTTTTTTTATTTAAAAACCAAACTTCATTGGAATTCATACTCATTGAAATACAGAAACAACTTGTCATCTAAACATCCGTGATTTTAGATGAGATTTCCACTTATATCGTTATCTGCAGTCTCTGTACGATAATATTTACTTAAAAGATTCTAAAACAAATACAGCAGCTAACACGAAGGTCTAATAATATAGTCTAATATAATAATATGGTTTTTTAATGAATCTTTTTAGTAATGTTTAATTATTTTTTTGGCTATATGTCTGGTCAGGTGTGTTCAAGTATCACGAAAGCAGAGTCAGAGGGCGAACGTTTATTTTCTTTCTTTATACGCTTACAAAGAGAGCGGCGTTTATTATAAATCTTATGTAAAATAAAAAAAATAAAATATTAATTCGAGAATTTACTTAATATTTAATATTCGTTTTTTAAACATTGAGAGTCATTCAATAATTGAAAGTTTGCTTACGATACCGTCCAATGTTCCCCCTCAACCGATTTTATTAACTGTGTTATTTATATCACACATATAAAATTTCAAGGCTAATAAATATTTGACAATAAAGAGATTAGGTGTGGTCAAACATATTATGTTCCCATTCATTTCTAATATACTTAAGTATTTTCATTCGATTAAATGAAGAAAAGCACAAACAATGAAGCCAAATAAAAGTTTTTTTTTTGCTTAGATGGGTGGACGAACTGACGGCCCACCTGATGTTGAGTGGTTACCGGAGCCCATAGACATCTACAACGTAAATACTGCCACCAACCTTGAGATATGAGTTCAAAGGTCTCAGTATAGTCACAACGGCTGCCCCGCCCTTCAAACCAAAACGCATTACTGCATCACGGCAGAAACAGGCAGGGCGGTGGTACCCACCCGCGCGGACTCGCAAGAGGTCCTACCACCAGTATCACTTGATCCCAAGCGGTCCCACACAGCTAAGTGTAGCGGTGCGCGTTCGCAGGTCCATCCCGACGGAGGAGGCGAAAGCGTTCGCGGAAGCCAACGGACTTAGTTTTATCGAGACGTCGGCCCTGGACTCCACCAACGTCGAGCCGGCCTTCCAGAACATTCTGACCGGTCAGTACCCACGAGTGACGTAGTGCTTATCGAACGTTTTACATGATGGCGGCGGAGGACAGTCGTGATCTTTAAACACACTTCGCAGGTTCGAGACATGCTTAGTTAACATGAAATGTACATTTGTACTAACTAGTGGTCACCCAGTCGAAATTCCACTATAATTATTTGAAATTAAAGCTTGAACAGTATTATTGATTCTATTGTCAAAGAATATACTTCTTTAATCACAGATTTCACCAAGAATAAACAAATAATATTAGTCTATTTAATTTGAATAACAATAACAAAAGTTTGACAATAAATGAAGGGTGGTATATAATATATGTGTGTGTTGTGTCAAATACATGGTAGTGTTGTGCAACGTTTTTTTATATTGATTTAATGTACATATTTTTTTTTAGCATAAATATAAAAATATTTACACTCTGCACTCCTTCTCTATATTCTCTGCTAACTGACTCGGCAGACTTCGTAGTGCCTGAATCGATAAATAAAAGACCTAAACTTTTGTATAATATCAAGTTAAAACAAACAAAAGGAATCCGTCCGACGGGAGACACATCAAAGGAAAAGCAAAATTGCTATTTTTATTTAATTCCGAGCATTTTCATATTATTATTTATCTACCTTTTAAACCTCTGGACTTCCACAAATAATTCAAGACCAAAATTAGCCAAATCGGTCCAGCCGTTCTCGAGTTTTAGCGAAACTAACGAACAGCAATTCATAAATTTTGTGATTAATGAAATTAAGTTAGTTCACGGGGGTCCATTTTAATTCTTATACTTTTAATAATTTTAATAGATTACAAGTACATAGTGTTCTGTTTGAATATAGGGCGTTCGATTGGCTATGATGTGATACAATGAATGACTCATTAAAATATTAGTGAATATTTCGGAACATCGATAGAATGAATATTACATTGTAATGCAAATTAGCGATACCGTTACGAAATCGTTCGCTTTGCTAATGTCAATGAACGCCCACACTATGATGTCATATTATATGTATTCATATATTAGCATTGTTTGAAGGTTAAAGGGACGCACAATTTTAAAATGAACATATTGTCGTAACTTAGTGTTCAATATATCGCACCCTTAGAATTATAGAGACCCAATTCGAAATTTTGGATTTCGAGTTTAATTAAATGGACATGTATTTTTCACTGGTGGTAGGACCTCTTGTGAGTCCGCACGGGTAGGTACCACCACCCTGCCTATTTCTGCCGTGAAGCAGTAATGCGTTTCGGTTTGAAGGGTGGGGTAGCCGTTGTAACTATACTGAGACCTTAGAACTTATATCTCAAGGTGGGTGGCGCATTTACATTGTAGATGTCTATGGGCTCCAGTAACCACTCAACACCAGGTGGGCTGTGAGCTCGTCCACCCATATAAGCAATAAAAACATTTAAAAAATATGGAAATGGCAGTGCAAGATAGAGGGGGAAGAGGTCGACCGAAAAAGACATGGATGGAGTGTGTGAATGACGATATGAGAGAGAGAGAGAGAGGAGTGAGTGTTGAGATGACGGCTGATAGAAGAGAATGGAAGAGAAAAATTAACTGTGCAGACCCCGCCTAGTGGGATACAGTGGAGAAAAAGAAGAGACTTTAATTAAAAAATGGACCTAGAACTACCCTTTTCAGCGACTCTTAATAATCAAACGACCAAAAATAGCTAATAAAGAGACAAACTTATTCATCGGTCTCTTTCACTCCGTCCCCCTCCTCTACGTCTTTTCGGTTTGAAAACTATTCGATGTGTTCAAATAAACACATTTTTTTGCATTAGGGTTCCTATAATTCAGCGGTCGGGGAACTTTTTTAATTATTACCCCAAAATATTTTTGTGTAAGTTGATATTACCCAATGGCGAAGAACAAAAAAAAACGAAATGGCTTCTTTTTAGCATCTTTCATGTTATAGCGCCCATGATAATTTTGAAAAGAAAACGATAACTAAAAATTTAATTTAAACATCATTTATTCAATGTATCAATTTAATGCCAATACCTAGTAATACATAACGGTAATAATAGTAATATATGTAATATACAGTTGAGGAAAAAAAATCGCCCCCACAGAAAATTTAAGTAAATGATAATTTCTTGTTATTTTATAATTCATATGATATTTTTATGGGCTTGGAATCACAACGATTCTAAAGAAGTTTCACTTCAATATACATACATTTTACTCACAAAAGTTTCATTTTTACCTCCCAAAATTTCATTTTAGCCCATTTGGGGTAATTTACGCCAGTTCTCCGACCGCTGCTATAATTCTAAAGGTTCGACATACACCAGTGTGCTTAGCGCGAATTTTTAATTTCTCGATCGCGTAAAAGCTAACTCAAATTTGTATTGAGATTGAAAAGCAGGGTACGCAAATCTACCCTATTAGATTCGGTTACCTGAGACTGAATATTCCAATGACTTCGATATCCAATTGGTCCAGTCCAATTGTTGTGGCGGTAGGACTGAGTTCCGAATATAATTTTAAAAATGTCATTCTTAGTACACGATTTTACTTTCTTCACCGTCCGAAGTCGATCGTTAACAATCGTTACGAGTACATTGCGCGTTTAGTTGTAGATTCCACAACGAAGGTGGAGCTCGAGCGACGTTAAACACGCAACAGCAACAATAAATCATAAATTCAACGAGCGCTTTGTCTCGTAACGGTAGTGGTCGGTGCAACGTCCCGCCGGACACATAAACTCATGGTCAGGAAGTGGATAAGTCGTGATCATAAATACATTTCTACGGAGACGGAATTCGAGTACAAATTGTAAATAGTATGCTTTGCTCTTGTCTCATGGGTAACCCCGGGATATCGAGTGACGCGATCATGCCGAAGCTCCAATCTTAAAGGCGGGGAAAGAATTTTTGTAAATACATACCTGTCTAAAATATGATTGGCTTCACGATGAAGGCAAATAGGCAGCGGCTTGGCATAGCATTCCTAATGTCCATTACCGACAGTAACCACTTACCATAAGGTGGGCCATATGCTCAGCTAACTACAAGGGCAATAAGTAAAACTGTTACATATAAGATTGGACATGACACTAGGGAGTGGGTAGTAAAATATAGGCCGACATTGTATTTTTTTTCTTTAACACCTTATCCACACCTTACCTTACCCACAGTTACAATTTGTTACTAATGTTATATATATAATTGATAGATTTTGATGAGAGCTGACGATTAAAATTTAAATGAACGTTGTACTTTCACCGAGTCAAAAGCTTTACTAAATGGAAATCTCAATACCCAGTAAAATGGCCTCCAAAATGGCGGGGCTGTCCCCTCCCCCGCGCGCGATTTGTTTTACAGTCCTTACTTATCGTAATAGATTCTTTGATTCTTTAGCTATCCAGTGGTATAATTGAAATGTGGGTGGGGATTATAGATATATAGCTACAACACGAAACTGTATCCCCCGATTTTGTTATCATTCGTCTCTTTGAATTGTGTCCCTAAGGAAGCAATTTTAGAGACTCACTCACGTCAAAATAAATATGTAGTTATTCTGTATGTTTGCGTATTGCGTATTGTAATAATTGTGTGTGTTTGTGTGCAGAGATCTACAGGATCGTGTCGCAGCGGCAGATGCGCGACCCGCCCGAGGGTGACGTCATCCGGCCCGACGCCGAGCCCGCCGACGTGCGGCCCTCGCAGGCCGACAGTGTGCGGCGCCAGTGCTGCCAGTAGAGTCAGTACTTACACCAGCGAACAACTCGTCGACATCTGCTGATGACGGCATTGATATGCTAATATCTTTATTGTTTTGAAGTGAACCCACTTTAGAATCGTTGTGATTTCAAACTCGATGAAACGAAAAAATAAGTCCGTAGAGACACAAACACATAAATGTATAGGATTCAGCCGGCGAGAGAATGAGATAGAACACATTAGAAGTTCTCAGTGTAGTGGTTTTTTTATTACAGCGCAATCTACGAGATTTTTAATACTAACGTGCGTATGAAACCTCTTGTGGTGAATTTTAATTTAGGATTATACGTAAAGTTAAAATATCAATTCATACCTCATACTATAAAAGATGATTTACAATTATTTACTAATGACAAAATTTTACATTTTTTTGTCATAGCTTAGATAGGTTCACATCCCACCTGGTGTTAAGTGGTTACTAGAGCCCATAGACATCCACAACGTAAATGCGCCACCGACCTTGAGATATAAGTTCTAAGGCTTAGAGTATAGTTACATATACTTAGACATTTAGGATAGTTGTATTTTAATTTTTTAAGGTTTCACTTCTACCACGTGTGAATTGCACAGATGTTGTTTTTTTTATTTTCAGAACAGAGTCCGATCACCGTCAGAGCCGGCGTGAGAATATCCAATGGCTGAAAATGAAAGAAAAAAAAAATGCAATAATTTATGAATCATTCCCAAACAGTGGTGTTAACAACGTAACAGTGATGCCAACGCGAAAATATCTTTATACTAACGGTCGATAGTCGCCTAAAGGTTTGCGATATTTTCAGTATGGCAACTTACTACGTCTTACGTGAAAGGAACGATGCTAAATGGATGTGTATTAAATTACGGACGTGGTAATTTGTAAAAAAAAAAACTTGCTTCACTATTCGCTTAAGCTCGTGTCGTTCACGTGGGACATTAAAAATTCTAAAGCGATTAAGAGTGGCTCATGTAGATAGCTTTGTTTAATTATTGATATATAGTATCCGAAATAATAAAGGCGATTATTCATTATCTGAACGAGATTTTGTAAATATCGAGGAGGAAATGAGAGCTTTGTGCTCGACTTGTGTTGAAAAACTAATTGAATACCCAATTTCGAAAAGGGCACATCTCTGAAAATGTAAAAAGGAAATGAAAAAAAAAACTGATTATTTTCTAAAGCAGTGTAAAATTTAAAATATAAACTTTGAGATATATTTTAGTGTTAATTAGCAATTGAAAATTACTGGATATTATCTTAAACGTCAGTATATACATTTAATTAGATATTTTATATTTGTGAGATATGCCCTTTTCGAAATTGCATATTCAATTGGTTTATACAATACTTTTAAAGTTGAATGTCTCCCGACATGCTACAAGATATGTTCGATAGTGAATGTACGTCTTTATGTTGTTTCGTTGAGTGAAGCCCGATCTCTAGGAACATGCTTCAATCGTTCAGAGCAAACACAATGCGATTATACCTTGAACATATTTTATTTACACATAACACCTTATTGTTTCTGTAGAAAATAATATCTATTTATTTAGTAAAATGATTGAATCGACGGAAAGTTGATTCTTTGTTGATTAAATACACAATGCAATACATTGAAAAGGTTATAATAATATATTGTTAATGAGTGTTTAAATACTTGCCCTGCAGTTTAAGAGCTTTAACCGTTGCTATTCCAATGCATTCAATATTGACAATTTGTGGCATTTACAGTTTGCATTCAATTGTATGTCACCGAGAAGACATTAGTTGTGACCAGTCGAATTCACGCTATTCTTAATTGTATTGTATTGTGTAGTGTTACGTTTCATATTTGAAAAACCCGATAAATAGCAATAATTAACAAAAAAAACGAACTTTAAAAATAGCACACGATCTTAGCTTCGTTGAAAGTAACGTGTTCTTTTATAATAAATATTTACTTTAGTGTAATAATATGTAGTTACTGTAATAACGAGATAGCTTTTTTAAAAATGAAAACAGTTTTTTTTATTATTATTATTATTTTACTTTACGGATATATTATTATGTGCCTTCTGTAAAACCGGCGTTACTACATAGGTATTTGAAAATGCTTTGTTCTTGTGATTATTATTTTTTGCCTAGGGTTAAACGTGAATGCATCGGGGCTGATAACGTTATCGCAATACTCAGTGCGCGTCCCCCCGCCCCCCGCGATCCCCTCGTCCGGCGGGGGGTTGGGGGGCGGGGCGAGGCCGCGTTCGTTGTATCGTGAATGCTCTCCCACACAAGCACGCCCTCGGCACCGCGCCTGCGTGGGAGTGCACCCAGAAATTATATAATTGTATTATGGTCTTACATATGCATGGTTATTTTTAGTGCCTACCTGTAATTACTTTATTAAAGACAAAGATAATAAAATAAAATAAAATTTATTTTCGTTTTCAATGTCTTGTCCGATTCACAGTTTAATTTATGTTATTATGGTTATGTAATTCTATTGTGTCTTCTACTGTGACTGTCGAGGAAGTGTCAAGTGGTCGAGAGTAGGAGGAGTAGTAGCGAGAAGTAGTCAAGTGCTATTCGTAATCGTAACATAGGGCCAAAACTTTTATTACCAGTGCTACAAAGTTGAAACTGCTGGCACATTAGATTGGGGGGAATAGGGACTAGAGGTAGAATAGGGGCAAATCTGGGATATTACAATACTGTCCGATTGTTAGAGATTTAACTTTGTTGAAATCCTAAAGTTAGGTACCTACCTAACAACTAAATAGTGCCAGCCCTATCGAAAAACTATTGTCCCCATAAGTAACCCGATTCACCCCAATGCCTATCCCTATTCATCCAATAGGGGCAAGTAAGTTTTTGTAACTACAGCTCGATCAAGCTAAGTTTGCACCTCGCATCGATTACGTCACGATGCCGCTTAGGTACGGTCTGAAAAAAGGATTCGCTATGACTTTAAAAATGTAAACAAATGTTTGTTAGATTTTACTTTGCATTTATTGTTTTTAACAATATATTATACATGGGTACATTAGAATATAGCGATATCGGGTTTTTGTATTAAGACCACCCGGGGTTCTTGCACTTTTTAAATTTGTATCTCAATTGCTCAGTAATAATTTTCCTTTATGTTTCTTTTTCAGGATTATGTTTCTCCTTTCACTGTGTATCACCTTTCCTTTCATTTTGTTTACCACAACAATCCTCTCGAAGTAAAAAAACAATGAAGGTTAAGCGTTCAGTAACAACAGTTCAACAAAAACTTAACGAACATAGTCCAATGATATAACTAAACTTCAACCAAAAACCTAACAAGAACGGTTAAAAAATTTAAAATTCAACGTATAGGGAGACGGAAACTCGTATGACGCGTGTCGGCGACAAAGATGCTAACCGTACTGACGCGACAGGGCGATCGCGGGAAGGTGAGCGGGGAAGCGGGCGGACCGCTGCATTCCAGCGAGGTGTAAACTTAGCTTGGTCGAGTAGTATGATTATTCTTTGTGGAACCATTGTGATCTCCGTTTTATTACTATAACTACAAAAAAGAAGAAAAAAATCAATGTCAAACTTAAAAAGTGTCCCAATTCCCTCCATTTTACGGTATTAATACTAAATGGCAACACTTATGTTCGACCTCGGTCAACTGTTTGATCAACTGTTGTTAGTTTAGATCGGAGCAGAGCTTATTCGCTCTACCTAGAACCGCTGCGTTCATTAAGAGAGCGTTTCCAAAGATCTTTTCTGCTACATATTGGTCCGGTCTGGAATGAACCCCCCCTTCACTATGTTTCCCGACCGCTATGACATGTCTTTCTTTGAACGAGGCTTGTGGAGTGTACTCAGTGGTAAGCAGCGGTTACGCTGTGCATTGCTGACGTCCATGATCGACGATAACCCTCCACTATCGGGTGGACCCTAAACTCCTTTGCCTACAATTTTTTTTTTATTTGAGCGATTTTTAGTAGTTACTTGGTCGTTTTAGCCTAAGCGATAAGATGCCCAGTGTACAAAGCCCGCCGACATGTGTCTAGTCTTGAGGTAAAACGTACTTTAAGGCATAACATCTTGTGATGAAAATCAAACTCGCACAATTTTGCGTTGTTATTTACGACAGAGCGTGTATTAGGTCCGTGTGGGTGGGCGTAAATGTCTTGCCCAATTTTCACGAAGCAAATGTACGGGCTTGCTCGAAGGCCGCAACGGGCCTTCTACGATTGAGACTGACATAATTTTTAAAATTTGAGGCCCTCGTGTTGTGATGTTTACGAGCTCCCGTGACACTAGGTGGGCCGTGTGTTTGTTTCCTCAATTGGGTATCAAAGAAATAGGCGAGGAGCTGACAATAGTTCAACCAGCTATAATTCTACAGATTGGTATGCGAACCCGACCCGAGTTGGCTATGTTAAAACCTTGTGTATGGTGAATCGGGATGTGTATGCTGCTCTCCACTTTGTTGTTTGATGAAAACTTTTTTTTTATTGCTTAGATGTGTGGACGAGCTCACAGCCCACCTGGTGTTAAGTGGTTACTGGAGCCCGTAGACATCTACAACGTAAATGCGCCACACACCTTGAGATATGAGTTCTAAGGTCTCAGTATAACGGCCGTCTGGTGTAGTGGTAAATGACATGGTCACTACACAAGGGGGTCGCGGGTTCGAATCCCGCCAAGGGAAGATATTTGTATGATAAATATAAATGTCTTTCCAGGGTTATGGGTGTATATTAAATATATGTATGTGTATAATAAAAATATTATATTTATTTCCGTTATCTGGTACTTGTAACACAAGTTCTTTACGAACTTAGCACGGGACCAGTTAACGTGGCGTGATAGTTAGTAAATATTAAATATTAGTATAATTACAACGGCTGCTCCACCATTCAAATCGAAACGCATTACTGCTTCACGGCAGCAATAGCCAGGGTGGTGGTACCTGCCCGCGCGGACTCATAAGAGGTCATACCACCAGTAAAACATCATAGTAAAACCTTAGTACGATAAGTGGCCCTAGAGTAAGATGCATTATAATATGTAGCTACTTCAATGAATGGCTATCACAGTATTTCGTGGGGTACTTACAAGAGTAAACTGCAACATTAAAGCTGAAAAGATATCAGATAATTTACATTCGATCGCGCAACACCCATTGATCGTGAAGTGAGTGTGTTGTTCAAGGTTAACGACCTCCTCAGATAATTGACGTATTTCACAATTTATCATTCGCCGGCCGCTTCCAACCATCGCAGCGCAACTTTTGGTAAGTAGGTACGTGTCACTGTGTTTTTGTATAAAAAAATGAACTTTATACAAATTTTCATAACAACTTTTTTTTTATCTATTCGTATTTTCTTCGGCTTTCGTGAGTCTTAGGAATAATTAAAACTTTATATGTACTCATCATATACTTAAATACCTACATCGTGTAATACAACAGTATTTAAATAATGACTACGTTCGAAACTACGAAAATTGAATTAGTATTGGATTGGTATTGGTAATTGGTATGTTTTGGGGGTATTGGTATTTTAGTATAATAGATGGAAAATAAAAAAGAATTATTATTAAACGCGAGATTAAACAATAAAAGTGAGTTTCTAGTTTAGTTCATTGACAACTATTACAAATTGTTAAAGAAATATGCCCAAGTAGTAGGTTTGGTGATAGTCAATTAATTAAATAAGTCTCAGGTGATTAAAGGTTAGATCAGGGTATACATATAAGTACACAGTACACCCGATACCTACTTTGATTACGATTAAATACGTAATCAAAGAACATGATGAGTGATTATAATCAAGAAGGTCCTTCACCTACTACACTGCACTCACTACTTTTAAAGGACAGTGTATGTATTCAAAATCAAAAGTAGGTAAAATAAACAAGGAATCCCCCATACAAAATTAAATTGTTTTTGTATGGAATGAGATCCGAAGTTGTGACACAACACAGTGTTACCGAGCTAATTGGTTTAACAGAGTAATAGTAATTTTTATCAATACGTGAACATTAAATTTGAAAACAAACCGTACGTTCTCTTTACTTATTTTTATTAATAATATCGTTTTCTTTGCATTTCTGTAATGCTACTGCCAATCCTGCGACTTAACGCGTTAATTAGTGCGCTAAATTGGCATTACGCACGCACCTAGCTGTAGAAAAATGTAAATTTCCTGTGACAGCACTAAACAAAATGCCGGTTGGGCTTTGTCGTTTTTTGTTTGTTTTGTCGTTTATTCATTTGGTTTTGATGAACATCACATTGAGTTATTTAAAAAACTAATGGCATTTTAATATTTTAACATCGCTTATAACTTCACGTTGATGTTTTTCGAGAAAATACTCTGTTTACAAAATTATTTTGGAAACGTGTTTTTTGTTCGTGTTAATTTAAATATTTGCTGTTAAGAAATTTACTCCTCCTGTTTGGTCTTGTTTTTATTTGTTAATTTTAAGTTTTTGTTGTTTAATTTTTGTTGCATCTTTTGCTAAAATTTTATCATGCCTGATACTCATCGTACTTGTGAAGTTTGTGGTATCAAAGAAAGACATCTTAATGAAAAACGGTTTTTCGCAAGGTTTCCTCTGGATGTCAATAGGTGAGTAATAGACATGTGTAAGTAATGCGAGTGATATTACTCGGGTAATATTACTCTACGATGTAATGCAACATCACACATTACGCGAAGGAAACAAACATCACACTATCACCCAACAACATGTTTCTTTCTTTGTCGTGTAATGTTGCTTAATACACGAACGGAACCGAGCGAGCGAGACAGACCGATCGACGCAAAATAAATGAGCAAGCGACACGGAATTATTCCTAGTGATTTTGAACCGTATGTCCTGGCCGCTAGGTACATTTTTATACCTATGGTACGTCTGAATTTTAATATAGGTATTTATGTTTACATTTTTCATGCGGCCAGCCGGTAGCTCCCCGCAAGTACTTACTTAATTTTTTAATTTTTATTCGCAACTTTTGTAAAATCGCTAGTCGCTCGTAATTGTTTAGTAATATTTCATATTAATTTTTGTGTTTGATTTGAATTACTTAAGCACTTGTTTGAAGATAGTTTTATTATTTGTTTTAATGCGTGTTTAATAAGTGAAAGAAATAACGGCGTCTAAATGAAAGTCCTCCTTGGATGCACTTTGAGGATATCGCGCCGAAACAATGCATCTACTGCTCTCGTATATTAACAATATTGTCGAGCTCAATTTGCAGTCTAAGTCGCCATATGAAATCCGTTCATCCCACAATAAATTATATTAAGTAAAAAATATAATTATTATATTATTAAGTAAGTCAATCTCTGTCAAGTAATATAACAGTGTATTACAATACAAAGTTCATACTTTGTATTGTAATACACTACTGTAATGACACACTCGAATCATTACCTAAGTGATGTGTATGAACACATCACTTTAGTAATGATTCGGGTGTATAGATACAATGTATTCGTCGTCACAGTATCTATTGAACGCACCGAGTAATGTTAAGAGTGATGTGTAATGTTTTCGAGTAATATCACCTGTCTGTAAAAGTGATGTCATATCACATTACATTGGCAAGTGATGTTTTGCGCAAGTCTAGTGAGTAAGTAAGTGAACTCCTTATTTGAATTTCTTTAGTAGATTGCGAGGGGTTGCGAGGGGTTGGAAGGGGGGATGGAAGTATCTTCGTTTCTGAATCTAGAACGATGAAACTTTTTGATGATGATTGATGATTTTTTTGCTTTTAGTCATATACTTATATGTAAATAATAATGTAATTTAAAGTTTCAAATCTTCACCCTGGAGGTGGTAAAATAACAATATGGGATAAATGTATGTATGAAAATATACAAGGTATTGTGGGCACAGCTAGTAAAAAATACTTTAATAAATAATAGATACTTAAATTTGAAAAATGTATATATTTTAGTTGATAACAAGACCTAAGTATTTTAATTTAGTAGTAAAACTAATATTCATTTTAGATGTAAAGAGTGGGTAAAAATAGTTGGCAAAGAAGATCTGGCTTATCTTCAAGTACATATGCTACATGATTTAAAACATGTTTGTGAAGTACATTTCTCAAGGCGAGAGATTACAAAATCAAAGAAGCGCTTAAAAAAACGAGCTGTACCCAAACTGAACTTGACACTGCCACCATTGAGAGATGAAATTCTTTTTCAATTTTTGCAACTTAACTCACAAGGTAATTGGGTACATATTTTCCATTTTGCACATTTTTTGCAGGCTTGAAATTTTTTTTGTTTATAAAAATCATTTCCAAGGAAAAAAATTATACTATGTAAATATTAGTGTTACTCAGTTGCTACCTAAAATGCTCACTTCTCACACACATGTCTACTGCATGGACCAAAGATAGTTTGTAAGTCCATTTATATCTAGACCACACTTTGAAATTCAACATGCTCTTGAGTGTAGAATAATTCAAAGTAAATTAAAAAATGTATGTTTTATATCAGCGGATGTCACCCCACAAGGCCAGTTTGAGGTTCAGGCAGTTCCTAGTGCTTCAATGCCAGCATCCTCAAGTCAGCCTAGCAGTCTAGAGAAAAGTAAGAATCAAGATTGTTTAAATTTATATCAGCAAGAAAAGAAATTCTAAATTTTAATCTTAATAGACTTGTGTAATAATTTAAAATAATTAATTTTATTTTTCAGCGGATGTCACCCCACAGGGCCAGTTTGAGGTTCAGGCTGTTCCTAGTGCTTCAATGCCGACATCCTCAGGTCAGTCTAGCAGTCTAGAGAAAAGTAAGAATCGATTTCATGAAAGAAATCATAAATTTTAGTTGTAATGAAGATCTGTAAAAATAGCTCAAAATTCCTACTAATATTATAAATGCCGCTTGTCTGTTACGCTTTCACGTCTAAACTACTGAACCGATTTTGATCAAATTTGGCACAGACGATTTGTAGACAGAGAGAAAGGACACAAAATACAATTAACCCGGTATTATGTTCTCAAATGATAGTACGGGGACACGCGATATAACTGAATCCCATGCGGGCGAAGCCGCGGCCGGAAGTCTAGTTTAAATAAATGAATATTATTTTTTCAGCGCATGGTTCTGGTTGTGTTTATTTAACAACACAATATGTTTGGTCACTGTTTTAGCTATTTTTTTAAATATTATTTGTTCGTACTGTACTGTTGATTTTCCAAAAAAATTAAAAAAAATAAACATAAGATTATAATACATATGTACTTCATATATTTTTAACAGACGTCACCACACGAAGCCAGCAGAAGGAAAGTGAAAGTCAAATAAGAAAAAGAAAATTAGAAGATGTTGGTGAGTTTTGTATTTGTTATATATTTTTAACGCTATCTATTTGTAGCACCACTTTTTACGATTGGTCAATTAGTATTCATGCAATTTTTTGTTTTAGATGTAACACCACGGAAAAGGAGGCTCTTAAGTGAATTGAGAAAAACAAAGTGCACATTGGCATCATTAAAAAAGAGCGCGAAACTAATAGACAATTTATCGTCAGAATTTCTAAAAGAAATTGTCACGTCCGCGTTGAAAAATCAAAAGCGTAAGTCACAAGGTAAACGATGGACTATTAAAAATAAAATATCAGCATTAGCCATCTTCAAGCGTTCACCAAAAGCTTACCGATATCTGCGATATCTCGCACCATTTCAGAGTATCAAAACAATGCAAAAATTTATGACAAAAATACCTGTTGAGCCAGTTTTAAATACAGCTGTACTTGACTACCTGAAAAAACTAGCTCCCATTAAAAAAATAAGAGCAAAATTATGCTCGCTAGTCTTTAACGAAATAGCGTTAAAAGAAAGATTAACTTATAGTGAAGCCACAGATAAAGTGGAAGGGTTTATCGATTATGGACATGAGAGGAAAAATGAGCTAGCAAACCATGCCTTAGTCTTCATGTTACAAGGTATTGGGAGAAAAATTAAACAACCCCCTGCATTCTATTTTGTAAGAGGCACAGTATCTTCAGAAAAATTACCAGTTTTAATTCAAGAAATTAACAACTCGGGATTTCAAGTTTTATCAACAATATGCGATCAAGGGCCCACCAATATGGGAGCGTTAATACTGTTAAAGGAGTGGAACAATGGTGGGCATAATTATTTTGAATTTGAAAATAATAATAAAAAAAAAAATTATGATATTCCACATTTATTAAAATCACTGAGAAATAACTATTTAAAACAAGGATTTCTGAAAATGGAAGAATTGAAAGGTCAATGGAGCCATTTAGTTGAGGTAGAGGAACGAAATAGAGTTTTTTTTATATCTTAGCAATCTCAAATCAACTCATGTACAACCAAAGTACAGAGCTAAGATGAAAGTTAAATATGCCGCACAAATACTTAGCTGCCACTGTTCTTAAATTATTAGCCACAAATGTGGAAAATGTTCACCGATCAGATGAAATATTATAGACTGCTTTGTTAATTGAAAAATTCAATAAACTTTTTGATTATACAAATGGACCATCAGGGGATGCTGACGTAAAAAAAGGTATACAGGAAAACATATCTGCTAAAACAGACCATTTCTGTTTTAGCAGATATGTTGTATACCTGTATACTGGTTGGACAGAATTTAGAAAGCAACTGTTTACTTTAACATTTTTCAACCATAATGGTGTGGAAGCAAAAAATATAAAATGTGTTCAAAGCTACACATCATATCATTAAAATCGCTGCGTGATATTTGGCTGGAAGTTCAGGATTTAGGATATAAGTTTTTGAATCGACAGCAGTTAAATCAGGATCCATTAGAAAATTTATTTGGATTAATAAGACAGCATGGTCAAACAAACAAGCATCCGACGTGTTCTACTTTTATAGCTGCTATGAAAACCTCTATAATATCAGAACTTACCGCCCCTCACAGCAAAAACTCCAATTGTGAGGAGGACAAAAAGCAACTCATGACGAATTTTCATGATTTAGTTTTCGGGTTTAAAGATGGAGACAATCAAGGTCAAGATATTAATGAGTCTTCTAGTAAAGTTTCCACAGATAATGAAAATGAGGTTCTCAGTATACCTGAAGAAGAAGAGTATAAAGAAATAGTATGTGACCTAGCAAAAATTTAAAATCAACCAGTGGTCGATATAAGTGGATATCTAGCTTCTGTTATTCTAAAAAAAATTATTGCCAGGTTTGTAGAGAAACTTTGACGGCTGCAGATCCAGAGGAAAATAAGATTAATGATTTAATTAAATTAAGGGAGTGGTGGCAAGATAAGAAATGTTTGGACATCCATCATTGCAGTTGTGTCAAACTGTACACACTGCGGTTACAAATTTTGAACAGTTTTGTATCTCTAACCTACATAATAACAATGTTTGCCAGTGGACAATTACTATATTTTATTCAAATTGTAATACAGTGTGGTTATGCATTAATCATCGTCAACAAATGTCAGACTTATTGTTTACAAAATTGGCTCTAATGCTGATTCGGCGACAGTGCCAAATAATTAATTTAATTCAAGTTTCAAAAGTAGAGGATTTGGCGGACGCGTACAAAAGTGGTCAACAATATGGTGTTTCAAAATAATTACATAATCAGTTTTTAAAAATTTACTCTTGAAATAGAAATAGAAACGAATTGTTTTTTATTTATCACATAGATGTTCAAAACCTAGTTCATTATAACATTATAAAACAAGGTTAAAAATCTCTACGTGTATACTTATTGTACCTTGCATAAAATTAAGTAAATATTGGTTTGTATTGTAAAATAAAAATTAAACATTACCGATACAAACTTTACATTTTTTGTAAGCGTTAAAATTCTAGTTACAAATTTCATTAAAATTATACTAAGTAATAAAATATTGTTTTATTTCTTTTTAAAAAATCATGTTTTAATTTCAATATGCATTCCCTACCTGCATTCGATATCGACAAAAATATCGATAATATTCGCATCATTATTTATTGAACGTCGATATTAATACCCATCACTATTTTTGACAGTGGTAGAATTTTTGTAGGTTGATGCTGCCACCAGATCGGATCTGATCCCATACATTTTCATTTTGTGACGTTTACTATGAAGTGCGGACTCTTAAAACGTAGTGATTATTATACTCTTTGATAGCCCTTTATCCCCCCTCGAACAAGAAAGTTCCCGTTTTAACCTAAAGGGCGTGTTTTTAAAGATATAAGGGCTTTTCCAGCCCTTAAATTTGGAAATTAAGTGTAGTAGCGCCATCTATTGTCGAGATTTGAACTTTATTCAGAACAACTGTTATTTGGGTTGCACTTCGAAAGGCGCTGCGAGCAATTGCAGCATGTGTAGTAATGGCGCGAAATTTAAAATTCCAATTTATAGTGAGGGGTAGATCTCAGGGGTATTTAAAACTATGGGTTAGTCACCAATATCGAATTTCGAATTTTAATCTTCCTTTATCACAAACAATTTTCAATTTTAAACAATAAATACATTTAGACGCGGGCGCACGCTATTCACACTCAAAACGGAAGCGCCCGGAACATAGATTATACACTGTTGAAAAGATCGACATAGANCAGATATAGTGAGGGGTAGATCTCAGGGGTATTTAAAACTATGGGTTAGTCACCAATATCGAATTTCGAATTTTAATCTTCCTTTATCACAAACAATTTTCAATTTTAAACAATAAATACATTTAGACGCGGGCGCACGCTATTCACACTCAAAACGGAAGCGCCCGGAACATAGATTATACACTGTTGAAAAGATCGACATAGACGCTAACTATGTATAGCGAGCGGGCATACGGCCGCGAGAGTGACGTACCGGTCGGTTTGCTACAAATTTCAATAAAGTCTTAAATTACATTTGTTACTATAATAAAGTTATTAAATTTTGTGTATTTATACAGCCGTAGCTAACTTATATTTTGGAGTTAAAGCGACATAATTTTAGTTATTCAAATTAGTTCTGAAAACATTTAAAATTTAAGTTTCTAAATTTCGAGCTTTTACTACGTATGCTACAGCTGCAGAACCTATTGTTACGGTGGACGATAATGTCGAGAACATTCTAGAACAGGGGTTCCCAAACTTATTTCGTCTACTGCCCATTTTGTAAATAAATTATTTTTTAACGCCCCCATCTTTTCACCTACCTACCTACGTATAAAAACCACTATGGCGAGAGCTCAGTCGGTGTCTAAGTCTTCCTAGATGAAATCACAAATCGCCTCCCAAGCCTCTACACAAAGCCCTCATTTTTTTTCTGGGTCTCTTACGGCCCCCTTTTACGCCTGCAGTGCCCACAAGGGGGCGTTATCGCCCACTTTGAGAAAGGCTGTTCTAGAAGGTGTGACCAAGAAAATATTCTCAAACTTTCTTGAATATCCTAGAGCCCGCTAGAGTTAGTTCGATTTGAACAGCAAAACAAGCGATTTTAAAACGAAAAGAAAAGAAGTAATTCTTCATAAATTTCTCCACAATAAACACCAAGCAGAAGCGTAAATCCTAAGAGTATTTTTAAAACTCATACAATAATTTGTTGAAGAAATATACATAGGGTTACTGTGTTGTAAGAAGCTATCGATACTAATATATAAATCTAGAGTGGTTTTTACGGATGTTCCGTTATAAGTACTGAACCATGCATCCGATTGACTTCAAACTTGGTATCCATGTAGAAAATAAATGTACTTAATGGATAGGCTAATATTTATATGAGTGTTGGACTCTAATAATAATGACGATAAATAATAATGTTAATTTTAAATGCGTAGCGAAACGGGCGAGTACGGCTAGTATATTATATATATATATAGTATAGAAGATTGGTTGAATGTACCCGTAATATTACGGTGTTGTCAGTTAAAGAGGTAATGGCTCAAAAATTCGCTATAAGCTGAATTATCTATTTTCTTTATTTTTTAATGTACCAAATACATACACTTAGAAAATATATGTCTTCTTTTAAACCTGAACTGATACTTTGACATGGTAATAAAAACTAATTTAATAATTATAAAATAATTTATTAAAAAATAATGTTCTATAATTGTCATTATCGAATTCCCTGAACTAAAAAAATTCCGTGATTTTACCACTGAAGTATGAAGCCCATAGATTATACACTTAATATATTCGAGATGAAGCCTATGGAAATGAAACGTCAACAAAAAATGCGTGCCACTGTGACGTCATCTGGCCGTTAAACATGGCGGTTTTAGTGCTGCCCAGAAGATTTTAATGTTATTAGGTTTTATCGATAAACGTTCTTGGCTCATTTTATTTTAAATATTATTGAGTGTTAATTCTTTGTAGAATTTATACTGTAATAAGACGTAAGTATATTGTTATGTGCAAAGTTACTTTGATTTAGATGTGTGAAATCTAAAACAAGTTCGTGCTTCTGCCAAGTAAACGATATAACGATTTTTAAAAGTTGCTCCACTGATTTTATAATGTTGTCGTTCGACAACTCAGAGACCGCAAAACATAAACATATGGCGTAGTACAGTGCCATCTGTCCATCTGTAGCATGCTAAATTTTATCGTCGTTTCGTACACAGTCCGTCAGCTTTCTTAGCAGCCCATGCTAACAGTGGCAATATCTGCGAAAATGAAAAAGCGCTCTACAAAAGAAGTAATCAGCTATAATTTTTTTAAGAGATTTTATGACCTGGTAACTAAGATCTTTAAGTCATGTCTTATAAAATTTTAATTTATATCATATTTTTATGAAAAATGATATTATGGAGTGAAATGAAATGAAGATGATTAATTTGATTAATATTAATCAACTGGGATGAATTTCATTTCAGTCCATGTTATCATTTTTCACAATTACATTGTACATTATAATAAGACATGACTTAAAGGTCCTAGTTACCAGGTCATAAAATCACTAAAAAAAAGCGACTGTCCCGAAATTGTGGAGTATTTTTTTTAAATTTAACCGATTTTTACATACTATCTTGATTGATTGTATTGTTACTTTCCGCGACATTTAGGCTCAAATATATTAAGTGTATAATCTATGATTTAGGCTGTTGTACTTTTCCAAAACATGGTAGGGAAAGGAAGTGTAAAATGCTCAAAATGCGGCATAACATCAAAAGAAGATTTTTCCTTAACCTTCCATAGGTTTCCTCTTCCGTCCAAGCATGGGTCTCTGAGGTAAGTAGATCAAACATTTACTTTAGATACACGTCTTCCTGATTTTACAAGTTCTCAGTTTTTGCACTATTCCGACCTGAATTATGCAAAAAGTGTACTTATTTAATATTATTTTGAAGATTGCTTAGAACTTTGTTTTTTAATTTAAAGTAAAATAGCTTCATACTTTATACCTGTGTACAATAAAAGCATTATTTTTTAGGGCTCAAGTTTGGGCTAAATTTTGTTTTCCTGATGGTGATTGGACATCCAATGAATCATTAGAAAATTTGAACGCACAGCATAGGATGCTATGTGGCAATCATTTTGATGATTCTTCATTTACCAGCAGCAGCAGGAAAAGACTTAACAAGTTTGCTATTCCATCTGAAGCTCAAAGTATACTTTCC